GGGCCTTTGCTAGACCTGGGCAGGGATCCCCACCAGGCCATGGAGAGAAACCTAGGCCATCTATAGCCAGAGGAAAAAATGTTCCAGACAACTACTAGAGAAATGCAAATTAGTAATACAAATAACAGCTAGATATGGATAACACCTCAAGGTTTACAAAGCACTCTGTAAATTTGACTTCATTCTGGTAACAACCCTGGCAGGTAGCTGCTAACATCATGCCCATTTTAGAGTTGAGGAATATGAGGCAAGTAGAGGTTAAGTGATTTCCCCAAATTCAGACAGCCAGAAAGGATCTGAAGCTGGATTTGAACTTGGGGCTTCCTGACTCCAAGTCCAGAACTCTGTCCACTGCACCAGCTAGTTACCATTAGTTAAATTAAAACAACACTGAGATTCCACCTCACCCCCCATCAGATTGGCAAAGATGACCCAAAAAAGGAAAACGAGAAACATTGGAGGGGCTGTGGGAAAACAGGCACACTAGAGGAGCTGGGAGTGGGGAGGGAGGAGTAACCTGGAGATATTTCTAACATAAAAACAGAACACACCAGTAAGACTTAAGGAAAAAAAAAAATATTGAAGTCCTGAGGACTGGGCACAGACCCAGAGCCAGAAGGAACCTCAGGGGTCACTGAGTCCAGCCCCTCCATCCCACAAGCCGGAGGAGGTGGACTAGCCCAAAGTCATACAGGTGGTGAGGGTCAGAGGGGCCTCTTGGCCCAGAACCAGGCTCTCACTACTTGGAAGTGGAAGGGTCAGGGATGGGTGGGAGAACCACCCCAGCCCCTCTTGGCATCTTCACCAGAAGGTCCTGGGCCCAGGGAAGAACCATCCCACTCACTTGGCGCAAAACTATGCCCAGCTTGAAGGCCTGTAAAGAGGTGCCGGGCCCCAGGCCCTGGACGCAGATTTTGCCCTTCTTACCGGCTCACACAATGGCTCTGTCTCCTTCCTCCTGGGAGCACCAAACTTGACCTGGTGAACTAGAATGAGACCAGACAGTAAGGCAGGGAGCCCAGCAGGGACAGAGGGCCTGGGGCAAAGGGACAGAAAGGGTGAGAAGACAGAGGCAGAAAGAGAAGGCCGTGCTGAGCCCCCCTTCTCTCTCCCTCCACCATCCGCTGTAACTCACACTGAATCTCTGATGGGGTCCTCTCTGCCTGACTGTGCTGTCCCCTGGAGTGGATCGTGTCAGGAAATATATCATAGGTCTGCAGCAGAAAGGTACGGTGAGGCTCACCCCACCCCATGCCGCCCACCACTCCCTATCCTCAGCCCACCAAAATCTGAGGCTGCCCTCACCTCCAGGTCACAGTCCTCCGGGGTAGGGATGCCCAGGTGGGGATCATTGAGTTTGTCCAAGAGCTGCATGAGGAGGGTCCGGGGGAGGGTCTGGGCTGTGAAAGGGTGCTGGAGGTGGGGAGGGGGAAGGAATCAAACATACGGGAGGTTCTGAGCCACCCCAACACAACACGGCTTCCAGCTTGAAAGCGTAGGGCCCTTCCAGGCAGACACCCTCCCTGCCTCAGCCACCCATGCCACTAACTCTGCCCTGGCCCACCCTCAAAAGGACCCCCTTCCTCCTCCTCTCCCAAAGCTTCTCTGACCTGCAGAAGCTTCTCAGCAGGGGGCCTTTTCTTGGGGTTCTTGGTCAAGGCCAGCTTGAGGAAATGGTGGAAATTCTGGGACCTGAGAGCCAGGATAGGGTCAGAACTGGGCCAATGCCCCTGGGGCAGCCCCAGTGACCACCACCACCACACACACACACACACACACACACACACACACACCCAGCTGGGGGGGAGGGGAATCAGGAAAGCTTGGATAGGTGGAGCCTTGAAGGAAGGTAAAGATTCTAACAGGCAGAAGCTGAGGAGGCATGGGGACAGCCTGGGCAAAGGTCTGGAGATGGGAAGTGAAGGTCAGGCTACTCACCAGCAGGCCTTCTCCTTCAGCTTGGGAGGCTGGAAGCTGCTCTTTGACATCAGCATTAATGCCCTGCAGGAGGAACATGGAGATCAGAGATAGGTCAGCAGCTTGGGGCTGGGGCACAGGTGGGGGGTGAAGGCACTGACCGACCTCATGGGGTGCAGGTGGAAGAGTGGGGGCTGAAGCTCAGCCAGCTCGATGGCGGTGATCCCGATGGCCCAGACATCACAGAGTTCATTGTAACCCCCTTTCCGCTCCACAGCGGCCACTTCGGGGGCCATCCTGGGGACAGGGAGCCTGGGTCACCTCCTCTGGGCCCCCCAGGGGAGCCCCTCCTAGGGAACGGGAGACTCTCCTCACCAGTACGGTGTCCCAATGAAGGACTTCCTCTTGGCCACGGACGCCGTGAGCTCGCCAGACACGCCGAAGTCAGCTGCAGAAGGAAGGGGATGAGCAGCCGGGTGCCCAGCCCAGAGAGACTTCCCCCTCTGCCTGCAGCTCTGGGATCAGGATACACCTGGCTCCTTGGCTTGCTCCCTGTCTCTGGTTCAGCTGGAGCCCTCCCAGGGCTGCACCACACCCCTCCCCTCTCAGATGGGCCCAAAGCTTCCCAGATCCCCAGGCTTCCAAACTGATTTGTCCTAGCTGCCCAAACCCCCTGACCAAGAAGCTTGGGGGCAGTTGGATGGGGGCACCCAAGGATTCTCCCAGAGCCCCTGTCTCTTCTGACTCTGCCCACCCCAGTTCTACCCCCAGCACTGACCCAGCTTGACATCTCCATGGAGAGTGAGGAGAAGGTTGGCTCCCTGTAGGGACAGAGCAGGGTAAGTTATCCACTCCAAGTGGGCAGTATTCCTGTGCCAGCTTCTATAACCCCCAGGGGTCCCTCCACTAGCTCTGTTCTCCCTCACATACATACATACTTTCCACCCTGTGGGCCCTATAGTTCCCACAACACGGCCCACAAACCTGCTGCCCCAGCAGGTCCTCAAACCTCCCACCTCTTTTTCTGTTTGTCTCTCTGTCTGTCTGTCTGCCTCACACACACACACACACACACACACACACACACACACACACACACACACCCCCTTCCCTTCCCCTACCTTGATGTCCCTGTGAATCTTCCCCTGAGAATGGAGATGATGCAAGCCCTGGGGACAGGAGAAACCTTTGGGTCAGCCCTTAGGCCACCAGCTTCTCCCTGCCACTTCCAGAGTCCCCAAATCCATCCCAGGGCCAGGTCAGGGTTAGGAGCTCAGCTGGGGGTTTGGGGAGGGGCTCCCCACCACCACCCAAGCTGCTTCCTCCCACCTCTACTCTCCCCCAAACAGGAAGTGGGTGAGGCAAGAGGGAAACAACAAGCTTCCGGCAACAGGAGAACAGCCCCTCCCCCTCTGGCACCACTCTCCCACCAGGACCAAGAGGCCCTCCCCCTCAAGGGACTAATTAGTGGGCCTCAGAGGAATAGCTGGGCTCTCTCCCTAGCCCAGCCCAGGCAGACAAGGAAAGGAAAAGCAAAGGCAGGAAAAGAACTACCGGGAGGTTGAAAGCAGAGGAAGGAGGCCCCCTACCTTTAGGGCCTCCCGACACACGTAGGCAATCTGTTTTTCTTCGAGGGGTCCAGTGGCTGAAAAAAGGAGAGGCCCATGAAGACAGGGCCCTGTCCACTCAGAGGAAAAGGCCCTGCTAAGGTTGGGGAAGAAGGAGAAATAAATTCCACACTCAAGAGCAGTCTGAGGACACGAAGAGACCTGAGCTCCAAAGCCTGGGACCATCATGAAGGCTTGTGCTTCCCCTGGATGGGTCAGAGTCCACGCCCCCACAAAGCCTCTGAGGGAGCTTGTGAGGGCCTCAGCCCCCACCAAGAGTTTGTGCCTGGGCAGATGCCCCATTCCTCACTGTGTAGTCTTCCTCAGCCAAAGCAGCAGCTTAAGGCTGGAGACAAGGGCTTTGGGGGAAAAGCGGCCTGGGTCTCACCCTGGTAGATCTCCTGCAGGGACCCTCCTCCACAGAACTCCATGCAGATCCACAATCTGTCATTTCTGAAAAAGAAGGAGAGAGACTTACAGTCTTTGGGGTCCTGGTACAGAATTTAGAGACCACATAGACCCAGCCTCTTATTCTACAGAGAAGGAAGGCTCAGGGAGGGCCAGTGACTTGGCCAAGATCACCACTTCACAAGTGAGCCAGGGTGCTACGTTTAAGGCCGGCATGTTCTCTCCACGCCACCAGGACGAGGGTGTCCCAAGATGGCACCCTCTGGCTGCAGGCATGCAGCTGAGGCCAAGGGGAGGGGGTGGTCACCTGAGGTAGCTGCCCAAGTAAGTGACCACGTTGGGATGCCGACATTCTTTAAGGATGGTGAGCTCCTGCTGGAGGGAGCTGATGTCATCTCCTGAAGGAAGGGAAGACGCTTCTGTCACCTGCTGTGTGGCACTGCAGGGGGTTGGGGGGCAAGAGCACCGGAGCAGAACCCCCACCCCCGCAGCCAGGGACCCCGCGCGTCTCACCTGGGTCCAGTTTGACTATCTTCACGGCTGCTAGCTCGGACGTCTCCGTGTCCCGGGCCTGTAACGGAGTCCGGAGGCTAGCGGGGTTCCCCTCGGCCTGCCCATTAGGCCGGGATGGAGATGAAGGGGAACCTGGCCTCCTTCCCCTTTCCTGGGCCGGGCCGGGAGGGGTCTGCCCGGCGGGCGGCTGGGGGGCAGCGGCAGGCTCGGGCAGCAGACAGCCCTCGGGCTGCCCCCCTTCCTCGCTCCCCCCCCCGGGGCATCCCACCCCGCCCGCACCTTGTACACATCCCCGTAGGTGCCGGCCCCCACCCGCTGCAGCAGCTCGAAGCGCTCCCGGGGATCCTGCAGCGACACGTCCCGCAGCAGCGACATGGCCCCGCTGGCGGTGGCCGGCCGGCCCGCCCGGGAGCCCGCAGAGGCGGCAGCAGCCCAGTGCCTCCCGCCCGCCCGCCCGGAGGGGAGGAGCCCGAGCCGGAGCGGGGCGGGCGGGGCCGGGGCGGGGCGCGGGGGGCGTCCCGGGGATTCCCCGCCGCCCCCGCCCCGCCCCGCGAAGGAACCAGACTGCACGGCCGGCCCTCTGGCGCAGGCGGAGGGGGCCCGCCCGCCGGTGCCCACTCACCGGGCTGTGCCCACCCCCGACCCCGCGCCCAACAGCATAACCGCGGGAGCCTCGGGTTTGTGAAAAAAAATTTATTCATCTTCCCGGAAACTGAAAAATAAACCTATGTACAAACAGGCAGGCCAGGGTCAAGCGGCCCCTCCCCCTCGGGCTTCCTCGGGATCCCAGGCCGCCCGGCCCCTCAGAGCCCCTTGCGCTGCCTCTTGAGGAAGGACAGGGTGTAGTCGCTGGGCGTGGACGCCTTCTGTTTCTTCATCTGCACTTGGGACTGGGCAGTGAGCTGCAGCTTGATGGCGCTGGAATTGATCTTGGTGGCCACCAGCAACTCCTTCATGCCCTTCATCTTCTCGCTCTGGAAGGTGAGCACAGGGCCCTCGGGGGGCGGGGAGGCCGGAGGGGCTGGGGCTGGAGCTGCTCCTCCCCCCTCGGGGCCTTTGGGAGCCCCTGGGGCCACCCCGGGCCTCCTGGGGATGCTCTTGTCTAGGGCCAGCTTTTTTGGGGGGGGTGGCTCCTCAGGCTTGGACTCTCGCCGGGGCCCCCTCCTGCGGCCCTCCCGGGCCTCCTCGCCCCACGGTTCCTCGGTCTCTGCTGTCTCTGCTTCCCGGCTTACAATCCGGACCTTCTGCCGCACCTGGGGACCCACAGGAAGGTTGATCCTGCCCCTCCCCCCCGCCGCTGTTGTCAGAGGGTACCCCAATCTGGCCTCCCTCCCAGCCTCTGGTGGGTAGCATCTGGGGCCCCGGCTCACCTGCCCCTCGAAGCGCCCCAACGACTGCACCAGAAAGGTGGCCCAGCCCACATGCAGCACGGGCGTGGGGCTGCCCTCCTCCCACTTGCAGATGCCATCATAGAAGCGAAGGAGGTGGGCGAAGCACTCAGGATCCTGCAGGGCTGAACCCTGGGCTGGGGAGCCCTGGGAAACACGAGGCTTAGGCCTCTGCAGCTGAGCTCCCTGGCCCGAACTCCCCACAGGGACACACCAGGGGCTCAGCTACAAGGGGCTCCCGTCTCCTGCAGCTTCGAGTTCTAGGAATGGCCCCTGGACGGCCACTGACCCCCCTCTTCTCAGAATAACACGTTTAAATGCATAAGATTGGGTTACAAAGGTGACTGCCCCCAAGATTCCAAACCAAGGTCCCAGAGGCCAGGGGCAGCAGGCCCGAAGCCCCCTCTACCTGAGTGTGCTCTCCGCCTCGATCTTCCCCGGTCTCCGCCAGGGCGGCGGCCTCCTTCAGCAGGTTGGGGACCACATCATTGGCCACCTCAAAGAATTCCTTGTAGATTTCCTCATCCTCCCGGCAGTAATTGTAGCTGGGAGGAGGGAGGCTGAGTGAGCACAGACCACCCCAGCCTCCTTCCCCAACCCCCTCTTCAGCCCCTTAGGCAGTGACAAGGAAGAAAGGACTGTCCCTAGCTCCCCATTCACCCAAGCAGTGAGAAGGGGTCTGGGGGATCCGAGGAGGGCAGCGTGCTTGAGGGAAGAAAGGAAGAACAGGCAGGTGCCTCACTCCTGGATGACGGTGGCTGTGTCCGCCCAGGCCTGCAGGGCTTCTCGGACACTGCGGTTCCGGCAGTGGTAGCCAGCCAGGTACATGTAGGGGTAGATGTGCTCATCCCGATAGTAGGTCTTGGCAGAAGCGATGCCCTGGGGGTGGGGGGGTCAGAACCTCAGGACACCATCTATCCAGCTGGCCTGCGGCTCTCCTTTGTGGTCACCGTCACCAAAAACTCCCTGACTGCCCCAGGCCACATCAGCCCAATCGTGCTGTCCAGGGCACAATGTCCAGCTGCGGACTTGGGCTGGGCACGTCACAACAGTGGGCAAGCAGCTCACAAGCCTATGGCCCTAGGAGCCTACGAAACACCCAGAGGCCCCCCCCCACCAGGATGCCTTCAGGCCCAGGCCAGCAGAGCCTGGAACACGCCCGTTGGCTGGTTACTGTGGACTGTGGGTATCTGGGGTGCTGTCCTACCCGCCCCAGCTGGGAGCTCCACGAGGGTAGGGGCTGCCTTCCTCTGAGGTCCACTGTGTTGTGCTGTGCTGTGTTCTCGAGCTGCAGCAGCACAGGGACCCTGCTCTTACCTGAGCCCGAGGGCCGGAGCCCTGTGCCGGGCCTTCCTTCCGTTCCGTTCCGCCTCACTCCCCGGACCTCTCCCTGGCTCTCTGCATCCTCCCTGCCCTACACACTCACATGCCCCTTCCCCCACTGACGCACACACCTTATGGTAGATGGTGAGAGGGTCCGGCCGGCCAGGCGTGGGCTCTAGCTCCTCCAGGTCTGCCAGGTTCCCCAGAGCCATTGGGTACCTGCAGAGAAGGCATGGGACCGATGCCCGCCACAATCCGGGCACCCAATGCTCCCCGTCCCTCCACCTTCCTCCTGCCCCTCTCCATCACTCACCTTTCCAAGTGTCCCAAGTCATAAAGCAACCAGAGAAGTTTCTGTGGGTTAAAAATGACAGAGATGTGACCTGAACCTGGGGGTCCTGCAAGGCTAGGAGCCTGACCCTGGAGGGCTGGAAGGGACGCGAGGCTGGCAAGGCGTTCAGGGCCTGGTCCTGGGGAAAACCAATGAGAAACTAAAGCCTGGTGGCCAGCAGGGGGGTGGGGGTCCGGGGCCTCACCTGCTGGAGCTGCAGCAGCTCCAGGGAGTCCGTGTGCAGATCAATGGAGGGGTTGATAGCACACACCATGAAGGCCACCTCCATCTTTCGGTCACAACGCAAATAGGAGCCTTTTAGATACAACCAGCTCTTAGGGGCAAGACAGGGGAGAGTCAGGTTAGCTTTCCCTCCGGACAAGCCCTCATTCCCCCTTCACTCTCCCTCTCCTGGGGAGCAGCATGACTTGGGGGCCAGTGAACTGTGCCCCACGGGGAGGGGCTGTAGCTGTCAGATAATCCCTGGGGAAGAGCGGGAGGGCTGAGGGGGACGGCATTACTCGCTCAGCCACGCCGGCGTTCACCGTCTGTCCCCTTCGGTCCTCGTTGCCTTTCCCGTGCCACGTAACCTCAGCCGTCTGCTCTCCATCGGGGCCAAACACAACCCAGGCATGGTCCTCAGACAGGGCCAGGTGGACATCTCGGAGGCCCAGGGCCTGGCAGGCCCCCACCACTGCAAAGGCCACCCCAGAGCTGTCCAGCTTGGTGCCTGTAAGCAGAGAAGGGAGGGGACTTCTACCAGCCCTTACCCTGGAGCCAGGCAGAAGGAACTACAACCAGGCCTCCCACCTGGGCCCAAGCCATCCCTGGGCCAGGTAGCAGACTCCTTCCCCTGTTCCATACCCTCCCTTCTTTGTCTCCCCCTCCTCTAGGAAACCTGTTCACATGAGCTCAAGTCATCGCCCCCAGGGCCCTGTGGTCTCTGCCTCTGCCCTTGAGCACGCTTCTGCACTGGTATGTTGTAAATTAAAAGGCACCAGCCTCTGGACTGTGATTTGCCTTGCCAGCTCTTCTCACAATACTGTCTCCCGAGATTCCTGAGGGAGAGACAAGGCAGACCTCCAGCGACCCTTCCCACCTGGCTCTGGGTTCCAAGGATGGCATCATGGGGTCCAGGCAGCCTCTCAGGCCCCTTCTGGCTCTGCCTCCAGGATCCTGGGACCAGAACCCAGCTTCCTCCCCAAGGCCAAGCCCTATCTGTGACCCGGGGCAAGGGCAAGGCCAGGCTTCTTGCCTCTCCTAAGAAGTCAGCACACACATGTCTGGAGTGCACCCCCCTACAGTGCACCTTGAGTCTGCCTCTCCTCCCTCATGCTCCATGCCAGGGACTGAGGCATCTCAGCCTTGGCAGAAAGGGTCCCTTTCCCCACAAGCCCAAACCTGTGATGAAGCTGAAAAGGGACTGGATGTGAGCTCGGTCCTTGAAGTAGGAACGGCTCAGGCTGTTCCATATGACATCAGAGACTTTCTTCACCAGCTCTCTGCTAGAAACACCCCCTTCTCGGGGGTAGAGAGACAGGTCTACCGCGCCTCGGATCTGGGCCGTGAAGCGGGCGTGGAGTGCTGCGATGATGGAGAGGTCAGCCACCGGGAAGTAGGTGAGGCCGCCCGGGGGGTCGGGGGCAGGGCTGGGCTGGAAGGTGAGCTCGGGCACATTGGTGGGGATCACTCGATTGACAGCGAGGAAATGCTCCACAAAGCCCAGCACCAGGGACAGCAGCACCAGGTCGGGCTCCTCCCGGTTCAGCTCGGCTGCAAAAAGCCTCACCACATCATCAATGGAGCGCAGAGGAAACAGGTTTTTCTGGGCAGCCTTCAGCCCCATGGCGACCTGGGCAGAGAAGAAGGGAGGACTCTGGCCCTGTCACCATGCCCAGGTGGGACCATCCCAAAGGCCCACGTCCTTCCCTCAAGCTGCCCTCCCAGCCTTTACCCTCCCTGCCTTTGATAAGAGCCTTTGACCATGGTCCCCGACCCCCAGGAGTCATCAAACTTTCCTACTTGAAGCTCCCTAAAGGCTTTGCTTCTCACTGACCTCTCTGGAGGTCCCTTTATGACCTCCCCATCAACACATCCCAATTCAGGACCTCCTCTCATTTCTCTTTACCCGTCCTTGGGGCTCCCTGCCCTGAGGAACCCTATGTTCAGGAGCCCCACATCTTCATCTCCCTATCCCCCTACCTTTCCCTTCTCTGCAAGTCTCACCTCAACCCCAATTCCTGTCCCTCATCCCCCCGTCTCACCTCCCCTTCCCTAAGAGTCCCATCATAAACCTCTCCCATCCCTCTACACTGCCCTTCCCCCCCCCCCATTTACAGGACATAGGACTGATGAGAACCTTAGAGACCATCTAACCAAAGTCTTATTATGTAGACGTGGAAACTGAGGCCCACTGAGAAAGCGCACTTGGTCAGGGGCAGAGGGGAGAGACAGAACTGGGACTGAGGTTGGTGCTGTCATTCCAAAGCCTGAATTCTTTCTCCCTCTATCTCACTTCAGCTTCACACACCCCTTCCCTTAGTGTCTGGGGTTTGAATTCTGGCTAGTGGGACATTAAGCAAATCCCTTCCTCTCTGACTTCAGCAGCCTCAAGAGCACAATTGAGGGGGTATGACTCTTACAAACTCACACTTTCCCCCTCATTTCCTCTCCCTCCAAGGGAGAGAGTGGCTTCTGCTCCCTTACTGGAGTCCCTATGCCAACGTGGCAGGATGGTGTGATACCAGCCCCTTTCACTCTCCAGGCCTGAGGCACCCCTTCTAGACCCCTTAGTAGAGAGGAAACTCCCTGAGGGAAGGAACTTTCCTTTGTGTACAGTTCTGGCATTTCAATGCCTGCTGCTGAATTGGAAAAGAAAGAGCGCTAGACCTCCCACCTGCCTACCTTGGGCAAATCCCTTGCTCTGCTCTGAGCCTCAGTTTCCCCATCAGTAAAACTAACACGTCGAGTTAGATAACCTCGAAGGGCCCTTCTGGCTCTACATGGATAGATCCTGAGCCCAATTCAGGAACCCTTTTACCAGCTCCACCCTCTTCTTTTCAGTGTACCCCTCTCTAACACATACCCCTCTTTTGAGTAGCAGGGGGGCTCCCCCAGCAGCACCTTCCCCATTTTTACATGTCTTTTATGGGGGTGCCTCTCCCCTTCCCCTAAGACCCGACCCTTTCCCTTCCCCCAGGATCCTGCCCCCCTGGTCACCCATGGCCCTCTTTCCCCTCAAAGACCCCTCCCTTTGCCTCTCCCCCACCCTCCCTCGGGACCCCGCCCCCGCCCCCTCCCTTGCTACTCCAAGCTTCCCTCCCCTGAGTTCCCTCCCCTTCCCCAAGACCCCAGCCCTTCCTTTCCCCAGGATCCCAACGCCTCTCTGTTCACCTATGCCCCTCCCCTCCACGACCCCTACCTTCACTTCCCCCCCAACCACCCTCCTCCACGACCCTGCCCCCTCCTGTCACCCAAGGCCCTCGACCCCTCCAGGACCCTTGCCTACACCTCCCCGGCCCCTCCCCCACGACCCTCCCTGTCACTTCAAGCCCCTTCCCCCTCCCTCGCACCTGCAGCTCCTCCCCCTCCCCTTGTTTCTGCTCCTCTCCCTCCCCACGGTCTGCTGCCCCCTCCCCCGTCCTCCTCGGGTCGGGCCAGAGCCCCAGTGGTCAGCTGCGACCCCCTCTCCCGGGCCCCCAGCCCCCGGCCCCGCGCCCACCTCCGCTCGTACATCCCACACAAGGAGCTTGCCCAGGAGCCCGCGGGGCCCGGAGCATGCCGGGAGATGGAGTCCGCTCCGCCCAGCACCCACGCGGAGCTTGCTGGGAGATGGAGTTCCCGCCGGCCGCTGTCGCTCACGCACAGGAACCCCACCCCGGAAGGCCGCCTCGGGGCTCAGGGCGGAGCCGAAGGGGCTCTTGGGAAAAGCGGTTGGACGCACCTCGGTATCTCCAGGACGGAAGGCGGACGCCGGAAGCACGTGTCTCTCCGCCACACTGGATTCTGGGAGTTGTAGTTTCGGATGCTGACCGCGTGTAGAGGCGCATGAACAGTAGTAGCACAAATGTCTCAGACTTCGAAGGGGATTGGGGAGAATTGTAGAGGGAGTTCAGGCCAACCCGTGCTTGACCAGGAACCCCGTCCCCCCTCACCTCCCACCCCATCCAGCCTCTGCTTGGAGACCTCCCTGGATGGGGAGCACACTACCTCCAGAGGCAGCCCGGCCTCCTTTTGGCACATATTTCCTCCATCTCTCTATAACTGCCGCCCACTTCTAGTTGTGCTCCCTGAGTGCCCGCCGAACGAATGGACGAAAAGGAACAAATCCTCAGTGATGAAATTTCAGGCAGCACAAAGGTCTGCCTTCCTCCCATGTCAGATGACAGACAAACCTGTCAATCAACCCTTACTGATCACCTGCTGTGTGTCTGGCACTGTGCTAAGCCCTAGGGATATAAAAAGAGGTAAAAGACAGGCCCTGCCCTCAAGGAGCTTACAGTCTAAAGGGGGAGACAACGTGCAAAAAACACATATGAAGCCGGAGCTACATATGGGACAAATAAGAAACACATTCATTAGCAGAAGGAAGGCACTAGAACTGAGGGAGAGGGGAAAGGCTTCCTGTAGATGGGGGATTTTAGCTGGGACGTGAAGGAGGCAAGGGAGGTCAGTAGGTAGAGATGAGGAGGCAGAGATTGCTCAGGGATGGGGAGACAGACAATGAAAACACGGGCAGTCAGGAGACAGAGCAGCCAGGAGGCCAGCGTTGCTAGATTCAAGAGTCAGGTGTAAGCAGACTGGAAAAGGAGGAGGGGCAGGTTAGGAAGGGCTGTGAAGGCTGAACAGAGCACTGTATTTGATCCTGGAGGCCATAGGGAGCTCCTGGGGTTTATGCAGTATGGGGTGACATGGTCAGACTGGGCTTCGGGAAAATCACTTTAGATTCTGAATGGAGTAGGGAGAGGCTTGAGGCAGGCAGACCCTCCAGCAGCTATTACCATAATCCAGGTGCGAGGGGATGAAGGTCTGCACCAGTGTCAGAGGAGAGAAGGGGGCGCACTGGAGAGAAATTCCGACAAGCCTTTACAAGAGCTCAGATACTGGAGGGAGAGTGAGAGAGAGTGAGGACTCTCAGGATTAGGTTGGGAGCCTGAGGAACTGGGAAGATGGGGGTGCCTTCTACAGTCACAAGGAAGGTAGAACAGGAGGAGGGTTCAGGGGGAAAGGAAAGGCAAGATTGGAAGTCAGCGGAGGCTGGGGCAGGAGAGGTAGATGTGAGAATCTTCAGCATAGAGATGGTCATTAAATCCATAGGAGCTGGGGAGGTCCCCGAGTGAAGCAGTCTAGAAGGAGAAGGGAAGAGGGTCCAGGCCAGAGCCCTGAGGGAGCCCTGTGGTTAGAGGGAGGGATTTGGAGGGGGATCCAGCCAAGGAGACAGAGGAGGAGCCGTCAGAGAGGGAGGAGGAGAACCCAAAAGGCACCCAGAAACTTCAAGATGAGTGGTTAGACTCAGTGTCCCGAGGCTGCTGGCAGCTCAGCCCTTCTGTGATCTAGGTTCCGAGTTGCCAAATGTAGATTCCACTTCTCTGTCTCTTGCATCCATCCCCTTCTCTCCAGTCATGTAGCCTCTACCCTCCTTCCAGCCCTCGTGGCCTCATGCGTCCACTGTCGTGATGGCCTCCCTGCCTCTGAGCGCTCATTCTCCAACCCAGCCTCCCCCCGGGCTGCCAAAGCGCCAAATCTTTCTGCAGCTCTAAGCCCCCAGGGCCCCCAGGGTCTATTGCCTCTAGAATAAAAAGCTCAGTGTTCTACCTGAGATTGAAGGGCCTCCACTAACTGGCCCCCACCCACCGTTTCAGGCAGACGTCATGACTATCCTTCCTATACTCTCTAACTTGCACGTGTATGCTCCCAGTAAAATGTAAGCTCTTTGAGGGCAGAGATGGTTTCATTTGTCGATCACTTGATAGTTTGCAATATTCAAGCAGACCCCTTTCCCCCACCCTCCCAACACACACACACACACACACACACACACACACACACACAGAGTATGTCTTTACTAGATGTGACTTGGAATGATCTCTACAGGGCACAAGCCACCAGGTGGCGCTCAAAGCTTGGACTACCCTGGCTCCCTCCTGCTTAATAATTGCTCTCTGTACAGTCCCTAGGTTTTTTTTTTTGTTTTGTTTTTGATCTAGAAAAAAATGTGTTGGAATAGATGACCTCTAAAGTCCCTTCTAGCTCCGACTCTGATCTCCTGAAATAAATCTTTAGAGAGCGGGAAGAAGCCAACGTGAGAGGGGAGGGCAGTCTCCATCACATCCCTCTCCCCAGCCGGCTAGACTACAGTAGGCTTGGGGAGTATCCCTGTGGGTGAGATCTGGGACTTTCGTGGTTGAGCTAAGCTGCCTTGCTCCCCATGAGAGAGCTCCTTCTCTCCATTGTCGGGCATATACTGTCCTATGTAGACTTTCTCTGACTTCTAATTTGCTGTTGATTTGGACAGATGGTTTTCTTGACTAAGTGCTGAGTGGAACTGGTATTTGGTGGGAAAGGGGTCAAGCCTTGCATATCAAGTTTGGGGTCCAGCTCCCCCCAATAATAAAAGTGATCAGAAGTTAGCTTGAACCTGAAAAGCATATCCCCTGGACTATGTAATTGTTCAGTTGGGTCTGACTCTTTGTGACCCTGTGGACCAGAGCATGCCAATGCTGTCCAGGGGGTTTTCTTGGCAAAAACACTGGCTTGGTTCGCCATTTCCTTCGCCATAGGATTAAGGCAAACAGAGGTTAAGTGACTTACCCAGGGTCACACAGCTAGCGTCTGAGGTCACATTTGAACTCAGGTCTTCCTGACTCCAGTGCTTCCGACATGTAAAGGAGCAGATAATCCTAGCCCCAATTTCCGGGTTCCCCTCCCTTGGAGAAGGGTGGGGAGAGAAGGGAGAGATGTCCACTCCCCTCGAGTAGCACAACTCCCCCACACTACATGTGAGCAGACAGCTCCCCGCCACAAGCAGGGGCTTGCAACCTTTTGACTAGCCATGGAAGCCGCGCACATATACTTTGTGTCGATTTCTTTGCTACCTTGAAAATGCTCCTATGAAGGTTTTGGTGTATGTGGGTGTATACGCCCATGGTACGCTGGGTACACTTCTATCTTTGACTTCCTTGGGGTGTATGCCTGCCTGCTTATCAGTGGGAACTCTGCGTTGCCCCAAGTAATTCGCTCACTCTGCATTTAGATTATTAAAGAATTACTATCGGCTCCTGGGAAGCACGGAGTACCTCCTAGCCGACGTCCAGAGGAATCAGGAAAGAGGTCCAAAACACCTCCCTGGCCCAGCCTCCTCCTCTACGTATCTGGCCAATGAGAAGCAGACCCGCCCCCCAAATCAAAGAGCTGAAACTAAAGGTCAAAGGGCAGAGTGGAACCGCTCACAGCCGCCCCAACCCCGCCCCCCCATCCCCAAGGACTTCAGAGATCCAGAAAAGGCAAGGGAAGGCGTGGGCAGCCGGAGTAACAAGTGACTTCACGCCTAGCCTAGCACAGAGCCGTCTCCTGCACCCCTCTGCCCTTGGCCCCATCGCATCCCCAGGTTCTCTGAAAGCCTGATGAAAGAAACTGGTGGGAAGAGCCAGCCCTTCCTCCCGCCCTCCCCCCACACCCAGGGCGAGGTGGGGGGAGGGGCCAGAAGGCAGCTTATAAAGACATCTTTATTAGATTTCTTTTGTCACATCAAATATTGGTGTTGATCCTTCCACAAACAGTGTCCGTCAGATAAATACCTGGCTTGTCCCCCCGACTGAGATAGCAGAAGGTTTAATAATAATAATAATAATAATAATAATAATAATAACCACAATAATAACAATAATGAAATCCCCCCATATAGCTCCCCAATACAGAGTTGTCTGAAACTTTCCCCCTCTCCAAATAAAGGGTTAGATAATCCAAATCAGAACGGATCCCGCAGCACCCCTTATCCCCATTCCCCGAAGCCCTCCCCATCCCACACAATTTAGCCCCTCATAAATAATCCCTGAACCCCTCTCCCCTCCCCCATCATCTCCATCTCCAGGCTTGGATGACGGGAAGCTCCCTCCAGCCCAGCTCCAGAGAAGCCCCGCCCCTTTTCGGTCCTGCCTGCTTTTCCTCTATCACTCTTCTGCCTCCCTACGCCCCCAGCACCATGCTCCTCCTCCTCCATTCTTCTTTAGCCCCTCCTTTCACCCCTTTGCCCCACGGTCCACCTTCTCCCTCTTTCTTCTGCCCCGTCTCTTCCTCCCGTCCTTCTGCCCTCCCTCTCGTGGGATCGCGGGATCCTAGGACTTAGGTCTGGAAGCACCTTAGAGACGCCTAGGCCCAGGGAGGTGAGGGGACCAGCCCTTAGCACAGTGCCGGGCACATAGTAGGCGCTTCCTAAGCGTTGACTGACTGATGATCCCAGATCCTGTGTCCAAATCCAGTCCTCTTCCCGTGCTCCACCTTTTCTCCCGGCTCTCCTCTTCCCCCTTCTCTAGCTCCATTTCTTTCTCTCCTTCCCCCTTCCTTCTCTCACCTGAGTCCCCACATCCGCCTTATTCTCTCAGCATGTTGTCTCCCTGGGGCTCCGCCTCATTTATACCCTGGCAGAGGAGGCGGGGCCAGCAGCTGACAGGTCCCATTGCTCCCCTTCCCCTCCATCCCCCCAAACTTGCCAGCTGGGGCTCCTCCTTCCACCTCCCCAAAGTGCGGCCCTTCCCTTCCGGATCAGAAGCCCACTGGGCCCATTCCCAGTGTGTCCTACAGAGGTCCAGAAGGGAGGGGGTGGGCAGAGGCTGCCCCCCTCCCCGCCCTTCCATTCCAAGAGCACCCACCGATGCCCGGGGCCCCAGGGCTTTGGCACAAGCTGGATCCCCCACCAGGCGCTGAGCAGGGGAGGTGGGATGCTTGGCTGACTCTGTGGGCGGGGCTGGGTGGACGAGGGAAGGTTGGACATTGGGATCATAGGGTTCGAGCCGCCCCTGGTCTGGGAGCTCCGGGGGCAGGGATCCAGCTGCCTGAGCCTGGACCCTGCTGCGGCCATCCCTTCCTGCATACCACCCTGGCCAGCAGGGGGCGCTCCAGCCCCTTCCTGGGTCCAAAACACTCCACCACCGGTCACTTTCCTCCTTCCATTGCCCCTCCCTGGGGCTGGCGTGGGGAGGGGCTGGTATTCACAGCCAGGGTGGCTCAGCGGGAACTCTCTGATACAGGGGCGGGGGGAAGGCTCCGGGGACGGTCTGAGATCTGAGAGGGGGAGGCAGGGGCTCAGGGAGAGAGACAGCAGGCAGGACCCCCACCCCTCCTACGTGCCCCTGGGGACCCAGGGTCCCTCCCTGGGGCCACAGGAAAGGTCTCCCCCCCACCCCTCCTACGTTCCCCCTGGGGACCCTGGCTCCCTCCCTTGGGCCACAGGAAAGGTTTTCCCCCACCCTTTGTATGGCCCCCTGGGCACCCTGGGCTGGGCCCCCTCTGTCAGAACAAAAGTCTTCCCAGGATGCGGGGGTAGGGATCCCCAGGCTGGGCAGTGGACAGATTTCCTTAACCAAAACTCAGAGCTGAAAATCTAAAAGGAGATTCTTTTTGTGAAACCTTAAAGGAACAGAAATCTAGACTATTCTGGGATATCAGGGCAGTGAGGACCAATGGTGAATACAGTGGACAAGAAGTTTGTTCTGGTCTTGGCCCTGTGACCTTAGGCAAGCTACTTCCCCCTCCAGGCCTCAGCTTCTCCCTTTAAAACAAGGGGGTTCAACTGGTTCCCTTCCAATTCCAACGTTCTGTGTGCTAAGGACCCTCTTAGAGCTGATATTCCATGTTCTAAGGTCCTTCCTTCATCTAGGAGTTCATGTTCCATGTGCTAAGGACCCTCTTAGAACTGGTATTCCACATTCTAAGATCCCTCCTACATCTAAGAGTCTATGTTCCGTGTTCCAAGGACCCTCTTAGAGCTGACATTCCACATTCTTTAAGTTCTTATATTCTGTTTCCTGAGACCCTTTGCACTCTGAAGTTTTCTGCTGCAAGCCCCCAGCCAATACTAACATGCCTAAACGCAACAAACATCCATGGGGTGATGATTATCAGGGAGAAAAGGTTCTACCAGGGTTTCCTCTGCCTCAGTTTGGGAATGAGACAAGAGGGAAGAGGGGCTAGACAGGGCCTTCTGGGGTCATGTCGAGGCCTGGAACCCTGCCTCGCCCCAGCTCCTCACCTGGCTCAAAGAGGCCGCTGGACTCAAGGGGCCCTGGCTACAGGACACCGACTCGCTGGAGAGGGACGTCCTGGGCTTCCTCCTCACTGTAGAGAGAGGGGCATGGTAAGCAGCAACGTTGTGCCGGGGCAAGGGTCGCTCCTAGGGAAGCCGGGTGAACTCCGATCTCTGGGCCCAGGCCAGAGGGGAAGGGACTGGTCGAAGAGCAAGCAGGCCCTTACCGGAGTCTATGTCTGGCACGGGGACCTCACTGCCCATGGAGGCGGGCCGTCGGGGAGCCTCCGAAAAGCTGTGGGGCCTCATGGGGCCCCGACCGCGGCCTCCTCCTCGACCCTTGTCCTCAGGAGCCTGGAGGAAAGGGGCTCTATGTCAAAAGGAATGCTGAGCTCCACTCTCTGCCCAGCCACTGGGACAGGCTGCCTGCCCTCAGTTGCTATCCCAGGGCCTACTTAGCACCAGGTACTGGGAATACAAGTCAATCTGTCAACCAGCATTTGCCAGTCCCCTGCAGGGCCAGGCACCCTGTTGGGCCCTGCTGATGCAAAGTCCAACCCGCCCTGCCCTCAGGGAGCATTTGTTCCTTTCTGCTCCCCTCCTTTTGCACAAACAAGACCAGTGTGCAGTGGAGAGAGCCCTGGTCAGACGTCAGAGCCCGGCCTGGAAACTAGGTGCCCGCCTTGGGGCAAGGCAGTAGCCTATGTGGAGCCCAATTCCCTCCTGGGTGTGATGGGATGGGTCATCTCTACACTCTCCTTCGACCCTAAGGCCAAGGCCTTGAACAAGAACAGAACCTCGAACCTGGAAGTGACCCCTGAGGTCATCTAGAACAATGCTTTCATTTTACAGATGGGGAAATGGAGGCTCAAGGAGAATGACTTGTCCAAGGTCACTAGAGTAGCACGGGAACCCAGGTCTAAGGACTCCAGATTTTGTGCTCTTTCCTTTACACTTAAAAGGATTTGTTCTGTGAAGTTTGGATTCAGTCATAGAGCCACGCTTGAGGACCTAGAGGGCCACATGTGGCCGCAGGTCCCCCCCCCCACAACGGTAGCATCCAGGGAGTTTTATAGAGAGTGCTAAGCCCTCTGCTGCAGAACAGCCTCTGCCCACCCCCTCCCTTCTGGGCCCCTCTAGGACACACTGGGGATGGGCCCAGTGTGCTTCTGACCCAGGCCTCTCGCCCTCCCTCCCACACTCTACAGCACACTAGCCACGAGCTCTCTCCATCCCCGGAGCCCCCAGCTAACTAGCCACTCACCGAGGGTGGCTCTGGCCTCCCATCCTCAGGACCCATGTGGGCCAGGTGGCTGAAGTTCGTTGGCAGAGAGATGAGCTTAGAGCGCACAAAGGGGTCCTTCAGCATCTCCCTGGAAGGATGGCAGGGTGGGGGCTGAGGAGTGTGCAGCCCCCCCCCGTGCCCTCCTGCAGGAAGGCCCCTGACCCCAGGAGAGGGCCAGCTTCCATGGCTTTGACCGAAGCCGGGGGGGAAGGAAGCAGGTGGGCTGGGGTCCCAGGCCAGGGAGCCGCTGCCCGGGGGCTGGCCTCTACCTGCGCTGCTGCTGGCGCTGCTCCTCAGAGACTCGGAAGTAAAAGCGACGTCTGCTCTTGGTACGGAAGAGCTGCCGCCGGCTGTTGTCGGTCAGGTCGGGGATGTCGAACTCGTCCTTCTCTGTAACAGCAACCCTCCCGCTTCAGGAACCCCCGGTGTGAACGCAGGAGCCCTGGCAGCCAGTGACCCTCTCGGAGCTCTGCTGGGGGCCCTTGGGGAGCCCCAGGATGCCCCTGCCCGAGCAGCCAGCCAGGCAGCTTGGGCTGGGCTGGTTTTGGTCTAGACCTGTTATTTCATCAATTTAGAAAGTCGGTCCACTCACGTAGATTCGGCCATTTAGTGGTCTGAGAGAGGCCTCAGGCCTTGCCCAGGGTTACTCAGTTGGGGGGGGGGCAGAGACTAGATCTCTCTCTTCCTGATTCCAGGGCCAGCCCTCCAGCCTCTCAGCGGGTAAGGCATCACAGGATCATTCCTCCCATTTCACGGGAGGAAAACTAAGGCTCAGAGAGGGGAGCCAGCTGGCCTGAGATCATACAGCTGGGAAGGGGCAAGGCTGGGGCTCGGATCCGGGTCCTGCCTCTGACTGCAGCCGACTGCCAGCGTACCCTGGTACATCTCGGGGAAGGGGAATGGCATGTGGCTAAGGCCCTGGCCCGAGGGGCTCCAGTGGGGGCCCAGGGGGCGTGCCCATTAGCTCGCCCACACTCACCTGCCAGCCGATTCCTGAGGTAGGTCAGTCGGACTTTCTCAGAGCCATAGAGACAAAGGGAGCCCTCGGGGTTCAGGGGACGGACCTGAGGGAGTGTGGCAGAGAGCACCGGACCAGGGTTAGCTCTGGAAGGGAGGGACCCTCTTGTTTTACAGGAAAGGACACTGAGGGCCAGAGAGGATGGGGGCTCGTGGGTCCAGCGTCCTCAGCTCACTGCCTCAGATACAGACCAGCCCCAGGATCCCCCAGCACCAGCCCTGCCCCTGGAGGACTCAGGGGGTCAGCCCTTCCACATCTCCGGGGGGCTTGGCAGCCACACCTTCTTGAGCGGCACAGACTGGACCCACTCTGCCTTCCGGACATCAAACACGTCAATGGCATTCTCGCTGAACACTGTCAGGTAGGGGGCTGTGTAGCCTGGTGGTTGGAGGTAGAGGAGAAGGAGGGCGTTTTCACCCCGATTATTACTGTTAACAGCAGCTCCCATCTCCAGCACCCTCCTCACACACACCCTGGGAAGTTTCAAGCATTATTATGCCCATTTCACAGAGGAGGAAGACAAGGATTTGAAAGCAGATCCTCCCCAAGGCTCTATCTCTGCTGGCCCCTGTTCCAGTGCTTGCCCCACCCCGGCCCTGATGCCCCAACTCACCCCAGCCTATGGGGGCCGCAGGCCAGAGCAGCTCCTGACTCCTGGACTTCTTTCCTGTCCTGTCCACATAGACCCCAGCCGTGGAGAGGAGGAGTAGGAACTCACTGAGGCTGAGCTCGACGGCGCCCAGCGCCTCACTGGGGCCCAGCCCCTCAGCGGCCAGCCCCGAGCCCAGCACCAGAGGGGCCGCCTCATTGAGCAGTGGGTAGAGCGCAAAGGCTCCAGCAGCCCCCACGCACAGCCGGTCCCCCACCAGCGCCAGGCTCTGCACCGGCCCGGGCACCTGCAGTTCTCGGATGCGCCGGTGCCAGGGCCCAGGGCCAGGCCCCAGCTGGTAGCAGAGGACCTGCCGCTTGACGGCCACACAGAGTACAGCCGTGCTGGCCTGCAAGACCCGGCCTGCTGCCAGGCTCTGACAGCCCCTGGACTCGGCAATCTTCGCCCCCGCCACCTCGCCACTCTCTAGTTCATCCAGAGCGAAAAGGCGGATGCTGGGGCCGCGGCCACACAGTGCGGCCAGGAGCCCCGCAGGCTGGCTGACTGCCAGGCGCTGGACCCGCTTACACTCACCCACCTGGAAGATATCTGAGGAAGGGGGAGAGGACGTCAGCCTAGACCACTCCCATCGCGCCCAGCCCCCCCGGCCCGCTCTAGCCCTGCTCCCATTCCGTCCCCATCAGCCCTGGCCCCTGGCTCATCCTCCAGCCTCCACACCCCATCCCGGCCTCACCGTTGGTGTGCAGGTGAATGACGTAGAGCCCTTCTTCGGTGCCCAGGGCCAGGCGCTCTTGGTCTAGAGAAAGGAGGAGTAAAGGGAGCCCCAGGTGAAGGAGCTGTGGCTCAGCAGGGCCCTGGCTTCGGGAGCCTTGGCCTCTGGGAGCACCTGCTCAGCCCCCACCTCTGCAGGGCCCAGGAGCAAAGTAGACTTGGAGGTGGGGCAGAGGGGAGGGGTTCGGTTTGAATCCTGACTCTGGCCTAACCCCTGGGAACATCTGGGCCATCATTTAACTAGCTGGTTTCTTCCTCTGCAGATGGGCAGGATCTGCCTTCACTGATGGGCACAGGCAGTTTGTATAAAGAGCCTCTCACATTTAAAGAGCTCTTCACTGGCCTCTTCTTCTGCTTTTTGGAAGGAGTGATGAGGATAAGGCAAGATGGCAGATCCCAAGCACTCTGCAAACCGCTGGACAGATGGGAGTTTAACACTGCCTCCTCCCAGAATCTGGCTCTTAGACATCATCTCTCTACTCACTTTATTTTACAGAGGGGGAAACTGAGGCCCAGAGAAGGATGACTCAGGTGACCTGGGACTGCTGTTTCCCATGTCCCCATTCCTGGACCCTTTCCTCTGTACCCACCTGAGGACAGCCCCGAGGATGCTCTGAGCCTCCTGGCTCCACCTTTCAGAGGGTGTGTGGGTACATGGTACCCCTCCCCCATTGGTTGTGCCCAGGCTGGCACTGCCCCTTCCCCACTGCCCCTGCGCTGGCACTGTCCCTCCCCCCATTGGCCGTGCCCAGGCTGGCCCCGCCCCTTCCCCAGCACACAGGGCTGTGGTGGGGGAGCTCACACCTAGGGAGGAGGCTCACCAATGATGGCCGCGCAGAGGGCGTGGGGTAGCAGGGGCAGCCCGTTGTCATAGGCCTCCTTCAGGGTGTAGACGGGGAGAGGCCGGGGCCGCATGTCCGTCAGGAGGCGATGCAGCTCCCCCAGGACCTGCAGCCAGCGGGCCCTCTCCACCTCACTGTCAGCCAGCAGCAGCACAGAGCACAGGGTGGGGGGCACGGTCAGCTGGGATGCCGTTACCTGAGGGGAAAGCAGGCCGGAGATGCTGGCAGTGGGGAGCCCCAGGGTCTGCAGGGTGGAGAGCGTCTGATCCACTATCCCAACCACCACAAGGGTGAGCGAGATACTCGGACCAGGGTTCTGCCCATCCTGCCCCCTCGATGCCCACCTGGGATGGCTGGAAGTGGGGCCTGTGGGGACTCCCCAGGACTGAAGGTCTGGACAACCAGCCCCAGGAACAGGCTGGGGAGAGGACCATGGCCCAGAGTCTCTCTTTACAGGCACTCACCCTGAAGATGCGAGGTAGGTCCCGGGACTGTGCATGGATGACATCAGATGCTAGGACCGGGGCGGCTGAGAACCGGGGGTCCCTGAGAGCCACAGAGGAGGGATGGCACATCCCCTTCTCATCTCCTGGTCCCCACCCTCCACCCAAGCCTCTCCCCACCGCCCTGCAGCACCCTCCTGGTGGGCGGCCGTCAGCCCAGAATCTCAGAGGCATCAAGTGCCCATTTAAAGAGAAATTTCCTTGCTGGTGTCCCTGACAAGGGGCCATTGAGGGCCGAGATCGGCAGAGCCCACCCTGTCAGAGGCAGCTGTGCCGTTGTGGGGCATCAGTGACGCCCTGGAGCTGGACGTGACATCAGGCCTGAAGCTGCCTCTGGGAGCAAAGCTAAGCCCTGCCAAGCGACTCCCTTCAGAGGCTTCCTGGCTGGGACAGCCAGGGGGCGCCATAGTGCACAGAGCACCTGGCCGGGAGTCAGGAAGACTCATCGCCCTGAGTTCAAATCCAGCCTCAGACACTTCCTAGCTGTATGACCCTGGGCGAGTCACTTCACCCTGTTTGCCTCAGTTTTCTCATCTGGAAAATGAGCTGGAGAAGGAAATGGCAAACCACTCTAGTATCTCTGCCAAGAAAACCCCCAATAGGGTCACAAAGAGGCAGACACAACTAAGATGGCTGAACGACAAACGTCCTGCCCGGCCCCCAATTCTTCTGTTCTCCAAATAAACATTCTTAGGTCCTCCAATGAATCCTCCCACCAAGGGTCTCGGGTCCTTCACCCTCTTCTGGACACATTCTTCCCAGACTAGCTTATCAATGTCTCTCCTGGAAGGTAATGCCCACCTTCCCTCCCTTTCTGGCAGAGGTGGGGGACTACAGGTGTGGAAGACAACATACAATGTCAGACTTAGTTGATGTGTCTACTTTTGCTTACTTTTATTCTTTCCTTCATGACTCTTTGCTATGAAAGCTGGCTTTCTGGGAGGCAGTGGGGTACAGGATACACTGGGAAAAGCAGGGCATGGCCAGACAAAGGTATCAACCAATTTGAAAATTTAAAATACAAGGCGGCACCCAGCCCAGAAGGGCCCAAGCTCTCCAGGACGCTGAAGGACCATCACCTCCCTAGTTCTGGAAGCTCAGCATTTTTGAACGCATCCCAATAGAATCATCGGCTTCTGTTGCTGTCGCATCCCAACACAGACTCGAATGCTGGGAAAGCTTGCTGCCCACTCTGACCTCTGGGTCTTTTTCACAGGGGTTGTTGTCTAGCCACACCTCTGTCAATGATTTATGAAGCACCTGCTGTCTATGTACCAAGCGGCAGGGCTACAAATACAAGAGGGAGGCCGTGCCTGCCCTCAAGGACCTTCTGTCCTACAGGGTATACAGCCCATTTGCGGATAAGAGAACACGGCTCTGTAGCCTAGGAGGCGGGGACATTGGGCCTCCCCCACTTTGGGTTTGTGACAATGACCGTCTGAACCCAGGACCTGGCCTTGGCGTCCCAAAGAAGGCTCAAGCAGGCTGTCCTCGAGTATCTGGAGGGCAGTCACGGGCAGAGGCCCCTGACGGGAGCCCCAACTCCCTGACGATGGGAGCGTCCCCTTGGCAGAGAGCTGGGGGGCTGGCTGAGCCCTGCTCGGAGATGTCCTAGAGGGGGCTGGCCCCGGGCCCTCCCGGGCCTCTGCAATGCATCCCTACTCTCTCTGGCTTGCTAGGGTTCCGGTGTGTCCAGACCGTTCCGGAGCCCTGTGGCGGAGGAGCGACCAGCCACAGATTGGAGCGTGTCCTCGCTCTCTGACAAGGCTGACCGGCACCGGGGCACTGCCCAGACACCTCCCTCCTGGTTAATGGACCCATGGAGCAGTAGCCTCTGGCTCCGGACCTTGCTCCCACCCCTCTGTCTCCTGCAGCTGCTCTTCTGTGCCCAGCCTCGGGGGCTCTCAGCTCCCAGCTGCTTGCTTCCATCCTTCCCTCCCACGGCCTCTGGCCCTCACCGCAGTCTCCCAGATGTCTACCCTGCAGGCCCTCATCCAGGCCCAAGCCTCCCTCCCCCAACATTTACCCACCTCAAGTCCAGTGTCTGGATGAGCGCACTGCTCGCGGGGCAGAGCTTCGGGTCAGGGGCGTCATACAGGAGGAGGCGGAGGTCGCTGAGCACGGCAAACACCCTCTGCCAGCCGCGGCGCACCCCCGAGGGGCGTGGCACCTAGGCAGGGGAGGAGGTTCAGGGGGGCCACGCCTGAGCCAGCCCCGAGGCCGTCCCTCCGGACCCCACCCCTCCCGGGGCCTCACTCACCGACAGGAAGCCCTCGTAAGCTGTACCGATGCCAGTCTCGGCGTTGACCCCCAGGACCGTCCGGAGTAGCTCAGGGGGCACAGGGCAGGGAGGAGCCAGGGGGGCACAGGTAGAATGGCAGAAGTAACTGCAGACTGGGGGGTGCGGGGGAGACAGAAGGGACCGTAATGAAGCCAGGACGTGGGGCGGGGCAGGGAGAAAGGGGCATAGTGCCCGGAGGGAGCTCTGGAGTCTGGGGCAGGAGAAAGGTGGCTCACCTTCACAGGCCAGCCCCTGGCGGCTGAGGCCAAGCATGAGCGAGGTGCATCTTAGACACTTGGTGGGGGACAGGAAGCTCCGGGGGCGCAGGTTATGGGAACCAGGCTGGGAAGGGCAGACAGCCAGATTACTCCAGTTACCACCACGTCTGACTTCGAGGCAGACGCTGCACCCCCAATACACCCAGAAAAGACCACCTCCTGGCACTTTGCCCCATGGGAATTATTCAGTAACGTTCTCTGTTCTGAGATCCCACCCAGCTCGGACACTCCCTGTTCTGAGATCCCTCCCAGCTGGGACACGCCTTGTCCTGAGATCCCACCCAGCTCAGACACCCCCTGTTCTGAGATCCCTCCCAGCTGGGACACCCCTTGTCCTGAGATCCCTCCCAGCTCAGACACCCCCTGTTCTGAGGTCCCTCCTGGGTCTCCCCAGGCAGGTAACTGAGGCCAGAGCACATCGAAGGGCTCCATGAAGGGACTTTCTAATGAGACAGTTGTGTCAGACCCTTCCCCGCCTTGGCTCTGACCTTGGCCGGAGGACTGTCAGCTGGAGCTGGGGCAGGGGCTCGAGGAAACACAGCCTGTACCCAGAGAGAAAGAGAGGCAGATGAGGGCCGGGATGCAGGGCAGGCAAATGATGTCTGGGTTTGGGGAAGGAAGCAGGGGCCAGGAGGCCCAGCTCAGGCCTTCCCTGATCAGCCCCCTTCTCCCTCCTCACCCCCCCACCCCACCTCCCAATCACATAGCATTTCCTTGGCATATATTTTGTATGCATGTATCCATGGACTGTGTTATTCCTTCCATTAGAACATAAGCTCCCTGAGGGAAGGGGCTGACTCATTGCTGTCTGGAAGGGGCTGGGGGAGGGGCGGGAGGGGTCTGGCCCCCCTCAGAGCCAGGGCCTCACCCCCATCCTCATGCTGCGGCGGCCCTCCAGCCGTAGCTCTGCCTCGGCACCGGGGCACCAGGAATCGGGCATGTCTGGGGAGCTGGCAGGGTCCTTCGAAGCATCCTTCTACAGGACCCAATCAGGAGAGTCGGGAGAGGAGGAAGACAGCAGATGAAAAGCCATCCCATTGTCCTCCTCCATCCAAACCTGCATTGCCGCCCCACCCTCACCTCTGAGCTCCGAAAGGACAGGAATGGAATCAGGGAATTGGACGGTTTGGAATCTGGAGAGAGAGGGAAGGAGAAGTCAAGTGTAGCAGGGACAGCCCAGGCCTGAGACTCAGTGTTAACTTGCTATGTGACCCTGGACCTGCCTCCCTCCCTCTCTGGGCCTCAGTGTGCCCATCTGTACAATGGAAGAGAAAGTGTCACAGGACTGTCCAGGCGCCTCCCAGCTCTGACGTCGGGTGTCCTAATCTTACTGGCACGGGCGCCTCCCTGCTAAGGACCGAAGCTGGGCATGGCCGACCATCCTCATTTTAGAAGCTGAGAGATGAAGGGGCTGGGATCTGACCCCCGATCCTTGGATGGGGAATCCTGCAGTCCACCTCCAGCCCCGCCCCCCGCCAGGAAGGCTCCCATCTCCCACCACCAGGCTCTTACCCCCCTGCCCCCGGGCCTTCAGCTCCTCCCTCAGAGTGGCCAGTTCCTGCTGCAGCACCTGGTTTCGCTTCTCGGCTTCCTGCAGGAGGCTAGAGAGAGAGAGAGAGGGGGGACCTTGCCCACGGTGGCCTCCTCACCACACTGACTCCCATGCCTTCATCAGGGAGCATCCCCCCAGTCCAGCCCCCTTGGGCCAGGGTCTAAAGAAAAGGTGAGGCAGAGATGTATGCAGGGCTCTCTGGGCCTCAGCTGCCAGAGAGAAAAGGAGGCCAGTGGCCTACAGAGTGGCCTAAGGGCCATCCCCACTCAGTACTCTAGGTCCCCCCAGCTCTGTGTTCTAAGTCCCTCCCAGCCATGACTTTCTCTGTTCTAGCTGGTGGGCTAGACTTTCAAGGACCTTTCCAGCTTGGGCAGTTCTAAGACCTCTCTCCACTCTGACACAGTTCGACCTTCCAAGGACCCTCCCAGCAATCATAACTAGCGATTTTGCCCCCGGGAGAGTTGCACAAAACCTGGTTCTCCAATCAACATCTGGATCTTGGCTAGAAGGCACAGCCCCCTCCCCCCTCTTCCACACACAGACCATGAGTCTCTCTGACAGCTCCTATTTTAACTTCTTCATAACTGGGCACTAAACAACTTCTGTTTCTGTGCTTTCAGCCCCTCAGAACTGGGCACCCAGGACACAGCCCTAGTCACCTTGCCTAGGTGAGGTTCTACCATCTTGCTGTTACGTTCTAGGTTCTGGAGTCCCTCCTAGTCCAGACACATTCCATGCTCTAGGTTGCAAGGTCCATCCCAGCTCCAATGTCATGTGAGCTTAAACCAGACCATCCATTCTGCTAACCAGCCTGTCCCGCTACCTCTCGCTCCTTCTCTTCCACCCCTCCCCATCCTCAGGGGACCTACCTCTCCCCTTGGCGCTGGGCTTCCTGCACCCGGCCCAGCTCCTCCTGAAGGCTCTGCTTGGCTCGGATTTCAGCCTCCAGTGCAGACTGCAGCTCCAGCTTGGCCGAGGCCTCCATCTTCTGGAGCCGCCGGACCTTCCACTGGTGGTCCTGCCCCACAAGAAGGCCACATCCAGTGAGACCCCCTGCCTCCTTCCAAGGTGCCCCAACACTCCCATCTCGCGTAGATGTCCCAAGGCCGGCCCTGTCACTAATCTGTCATGGGACTATGGGCAAATCCATTCCCCTTTCTGGGAATTCCCCTTCAGTTTCCTCATCCGAACGATGGTTTTATGATGGGTGAACTGTTGTATTTCTAAAGGCCACCCTCCAGCTTTGACACTCTGTGTTCTGGGCTCTCAGGCCCCTCCCAGCTCTGACATTCCATGTTCTGGGTTCTTAGGCCCCTCCCTGCTCTGCCATTCCAGGTTCTGGGTTCTCAGGCCCCTCCCAGTTCTGACATTCCAGGTCCTGGGTTCTTAAGCCCCTCCCAGCTGACAGTCTGTGGTTTTGAGAGCAATTCATTCCCCAGTCAGGGTGAAGAGTCTTAACATTCTCTGCCCTGATTTCTGTTTGAATAGCCGAGTCCAGAGTGGGCAATATTGGGCCCGACGGAACGGCTGGCCAATGATGGAATCCACGGCACAATGCCCAGCCAGGAAGGAGACCTTGGGAACTTTCCAGAGCCCCTCCCCCCCTGCAGATGCCCCGGGCCCAGGGACTCACCAGCGGCCGGGCCGGGAGCGTCTGGGTGCCCGCAGTGCGTAAGGCCTCCAGCTCCTCCGCCATTTTGGTGGCCAGAGCCTGCAGGTAGCCTCGAGAGACCTTCTCGTCATTCACCCTGTGGGAGGGCGGGGGGGGGGGCTCGGCTCAGGAGGCTTCACCCTCCCCTCCCGGGCTCCCCCAGCAGACAGCAGCATCACCTACCAGGTGAGGATATCGGAAATCTGGGCCTCCCAGCTGTTCTCCCTCTCCCGCCTCTCTCCTTCCAGCTGTTTCTTGATCTGCTTCTCCTCTTCCAGTTCTCTGGACAGCTGCACAGGAGGAAGAAGCAAAGAGCCCCAAGTAAGGAGATCCCCAAATGCCACCTTCTCCAGCAAGCCCTCCCAGATCCGGCTTGTGTCAAGGTGGCCAAGGAGAGGCCCCAGCTCACCTGCTCCCGCTCCCGCATCAGACATCTGTTCTCCTCCTGCAGCTGGGACAGTTCATCCTTCCCTCTCGGGCTGGGGGTGCTGGGGGAGAGGACACCAGCTGACCCTCCCTGAGCCCTGAGCGGCCCCTGGCACAGAGCCCCGGGGTCCTGCCCCGCCCTCTCTCCTCACCCCTGGCTCCGAGCCTGGTCCAGCTGAGATCTCAGAGCTTCCACCTCCTTCTTCAGGGCCTCCTGCTGGCCAGCCCCCGCAGGGCTCAGAGGGGCAGAGCCATTGGTCTCAGGCGGGGGATGGATAGCCTATGGACAGGAGAAGAGAATCAGCTCCCCAGCCCCAAGCCTCCTCCCCCTCCCCAAAGGGCAGAACCCCTCGGCCCTCGGGACCGGCCCCAGCGAGGCCACAAAGCCTGCCTCAGCGACCACCGGCTGTGCGTCCCCCTCCTCTACCTAAGGAACTCAGGGCCCCCCCAGTCAAGGCGCTCTCAGGAAAGGATCTTAGCAACTCACTTGCACACAAGGCAGAAAGATGAACAAACATATGTGTGAGACAGAGGGGGCACATTTGTGGTTAAGCTAAAGGAATGAAACTCTTAACGGTGGATTTTCAGAGTTGGAAGGGGCTGAGAAACTTCCCCGAGTTTCCTGAACTGAGCAGGGTTCAATGAATGGACTAGCACTTACTAAGCCCCCACCAGAGAGGCCCGAGGACCCACTCAGTGTCCGTTACGCGGCCCTCCATCCCTGCTCCTCGCGGGTACCTTGACTCTGGACCTCTCCTTCTCCCGGCTTCTCTCCCTCTGCTTCCGGAGCCGTGTCACATCGCTGCTCAGGGCTGCCACCTGGGCCTCCAGCTGAATTGGGGGGCAAGGGTCCCACGGTCAGAAACCCCCTAGGAAAGTGACCTTGGCAGAGCCGAGAAAGCACCAGGCTCAGGGGAACCAGCATGTATTAAGCCCCTACTGTGTGCCAGGTCCTCACATCAACGCTGTGCTTTTGTCATCACCCCCATTTTACAGATGAGAAAAACGAAGCACATGGGTTCAGTGACTTGCCCAGGGCCACTTAGCGAGGAACTGTATGAGACCACATTTGAACTCAGGTCTTCCTGCGTCCAGCCCTGGTGCTCTATCCATTGGGTCACTTGGGTGCCCCACAGGAGACTTGGGTTCAAATCTTGCCCTGGACACTTATGGGCTCCATGACCATAAGCAGGTCATTTACCTCCTCCGTACCTCAGTTTCCTCCTCTGTAAGATGGAGAGCAGACAACAGGGAGAATACCTGCAGTACCTACCTCGCCAGGCTTGCAAACCCCAAGGTGGGTGATAGATCTTAGGACCTGGGCCTGCATCAGTGCTGGGCACTCCCAGCATGAAAACTCCCTCCCCTGTGCAAATGCTGCTCACACTGCCCCAGGAGATGAGGGCCATGCAGAGGTCAGAGGGATTCCAGGCACATAACAGACGCTCTCTTGGCTGACCGTAACTTCAGCGTCTGAGACACCAGCCCGGGGACCCCAGGCTAGCAGGCACTGAAGGCCAGACTGAACTCGGTCCTCCTGACCTCAGGGCTGGCCTCTCCCCACCACGCCGAGCTGCCCCTCGAGCTGAGCCATCCGTAAACGTGAGCTCGCGTAGCCGAGCCGAACAAGCCGCTGAGCCCCAAGACTGGAAGGGGCTCGCCCCCAGCCTCGGGCTCCTGTGCCCTCTCCACCACAGTGGGGCTCAGCTACCTGGGTCTGGGCTTCCCGGGCATACTCCAGCTGGTGGCTCAGGGCCCGGGCCTGGCTCCTGGCAGCTCCCGCGGCCTCCTCGGCCTCCTGAAGCCTCTGCTGCAGATCCTTCTGCCTCCCATCAGAGAAGACCAGCTCCTGGGCCTGGGCCTGCAGCTGGGCCCGGGCCTCTGACAGCTCCTAGGAGCAAAGGGACAAGGATGGGATGGAGGCTCCGCCCCCTCCCCCCCAGCCCTGGGCCCCCCCCCCCCCCGGCCTCACCCAAGACCCCAGAGATCCCAGAGCATCCTGGGATGCAAATCAGGCAGGCCCAAGAGTCTGGCTGGCATAGAGCTGGGAGCGACCTCACAACAAGCTCAGAATGGAATGGGACAGACCCAAGGTCACTCAGTCAGTGGCAGCTGACTCTAAGCTCACAGCCTCCCCCCCCCGCCACGGTGCTGCTCACCATGGGAGTCACCGCAAGCCCCACGGGCAGTGACAGGGGCTCTCAAACCTGGCAGAGCTGGTCTCTTTCCACCTGCCAGTTGCTCCCAGGGGTCGGCCTCCCACCGGGGGCACCCTCAGCCGGGGCTTCTGTTGGGGAAAGAGCCAGAAATGAATGACACAGGACGGGTCCCAGCTGCCTCCCCTCCCCAGGGCTGCTGTCCTGAGACGCTCACGGCTCTTTGGGTGGAGGTCCGGTGGGGCATGGGGCCAGGACACCTCCAAATGTCCTTTAGAGATCCGGCCAAAGCACTTGTAGAGACGGGGAAATGCAGGCCTGCTTCAGATGCTTACTATGTTAGAGGCCCTGGGCAAGTCACAACCTCAGTTTGCCTCAGTTTCCTCAACTGTCAAATAGGGATCAAAACAGCAGCCGCCTCCCAGGGTTGTGAGGATCAAGTGAGATCTTATTTGTAAAGTGCTTAGGGGCAGCTGGGTGGCGCAGTGGATACAGCACCAGCTCTGGAGTCAGGAGGACCTGAGTTCAAATCCAGCCTCAGACACATAACACTTACTAGCTGTATGACCCTGTGCAAGTCACTTAACCCCAATTGCCTACTGCCTAACCAAAAAAAAAAAAGTGCTTAGCACGGGCCTGGCACAGAGTAGGTACTTAATGAATGCTTATATCCTTCCCTCTGTTCTAGAGCTATGTTCTCCCCACTGAACTTCAGGCCCAGAGACAACGTCCCCCACCCAGCTGGTACCTGCCAGCTTCCTCCGGAGGGTTTCCACCTCCTTCTTCAGCTGCTCCAGCTCCTTGCGGCCAGGGGTGGCTTTCTGCAGGGCATCTGGAGGAGAGGCGTCCCTGAGGAGCTCCAAGGCGAGAAACCTCTGCCCCCCTGCACCCAGACCTGGCGGCACGTGCCCACTCACCTTGCAGTTTGTGACTCAGCTCTGCCTTCTCCTGCTCCAGGCTCCGCATTCTCCGCTCCAAACTGGAGGCTGGCAGGTCAGGGCTCTCTTCCGAGCTGGGCCTGGGGCTGGAGACAGGGAGGCGAGCAGGGGTAGTGAGGGGTATGCACCCACACAACCCCCGTGACAGCCACACTCCACTGGGAGAGCTGGGGGAGGAGGCAGGATGAGCCCCTGGCCTCCCGCTCTAACATACACAGCCTTGCCCACCCGCAGCCCTGGCCATCTGCTCACCCCTGCTACTCCCCCCAGCCCTGGCCATCCCCCCACCCCTGGTACCCCTCAGCCCTGGCCATCCCCCCCTACCCCTGGTACCCCTCAGCCCTGGCCATCCCCCCACCCCTGGTACCCCTCAGCCCTGGCCATCCCCCCACCCCTGGTACCCCCTCCAGCCCTGGCCATCCCCCCACCCCTGGTACCCCCCAGCCCTGGCTATCCCCTCCTGCTCTGGTTCCCTCCCACCTTGGCCCCCTCCAGCTGTGTCCCCCCCCCAAGCCCTGGTCCCCAGCCCTGCCCCCAGGTTCCCAACAATCTGGAGGGAGGCGGAGGCCAGGGAGGGTTGGAGACAACGGGGGAAGGTTATACTCACGTGAAGGTAAAACCCACAAAAGGCAGGTGGTGGCCGGAGAAGGTCCCATGGGATGCAGGCGGCAGGGTGCCCTACAAAGGACAAAGGAAGATCAAGGGACATGATGAACAGAGCAGAGCTGTGACTGCATCAGGCTGCCAGGCAGATCTCTGTACCAGCACAAGCCTCCCCCACTGCCAAAGTGGAGGCCCAGCTCTGACCCTGTCACTCCCCTGCTCCAAAGTCTTCCATGGCTCCCAACTGCCTCAAGTGTGTGAACCAAACACTGCCCTTCCCGTCACTGGGGTTTGCCTCATGCCTCAGTCGTCCTTTCTCCTCCTTCCCCTTGGTCTGCCCCAGATCCAGCCCGTTACTGAGTCGTGCACCTCCCATTCCCGGAACTAAGCCCCTAGGTCAGGCCCTCATCTCTCCTCAGCACACACACACAGAGACACACACACAATTTGAGCTGAGTTGGATTTTTTGGGGGGGAGAAGCAATCAGGGTTAAGTGACTTGCCCAGGGTCACACAGCTAGTAAATGTCTGAGGCTGGATTTGAACTTAGGTCCTTCTGACTCTAGGACCGGTGCTCTATCCATTGTGCCACCTAGCTGCCCCCTCTATTTAATTAGTGTTATATTCTGTAGCTCCCCATAGGCCACAGAATAAAATGTAAACTCTTCAGCTTGGCAGTCATGAAATCATTCACTTAGAGCTGAAAGGGATTGTAGAGATGGCCAGCTCTGTCATTTTACATAGGAGGACCCCAAGGCGTAGGCAAGGCTCTCCAGGACGTGGCTGCAGCCTCCACGTCTGCCCAGGCTTCCCTCTCTCTGCTTTACCTCCCAACCAAATTCTTGGTCCCTCGTTCTCACTGCCAAGCCTTTGTCCATGCCGTGCCCCATGCCTATGACTGACTCGAATAGCCCCTCCCCATTTCTGCCCTTTGAAGTCCATTCCTTCCTTCAAGGATGCACCACTTCCCTTGGAAAGGCCCCCTCCCCACCCATGTTCCCTCGGTTGGCATCTCCCATGGCTCCTATGCCTTGCCAAGGCTGCTTCCCTGTGCCAGTTACTTCCATAATCATCCTTCTCCCCATTGGAGGACTGAGACCTGAAGGAGGGTCCTGAAGACCGCTGGGTCCCAACTCCAGTGGAATTTCACATGGGGAAACTGAGGCCCAGAGAAGGCCACAGGTAGGAGGAATTGGCAGAGCTAGGCACCCTTCCCATCGCCCAGGTACGTAAGGCTCCCTCTCGAGGCTGGGGTCTGGGTGCCCTCTCCTCATAAGCCCATCACTGAGCAAGCCCAGAGATGTACTCAGTAGGTGTTCCCTAAGTGTTTGCAGGCCTGAGCTGACTCAAGCTCTAAAATGCAGAGACGGGAAAGCCAGGAGGTTCTGCCCCGGGAAACACGGACCTGAGAATAACACCCTAGGGTGGTGTCCCCCACATCCCGGCCAGGCTTCCTGAGGCTGAAGACTACAGCTCCCATGAGACTTTGTGGGGTAAGCCTCCCTAGGAGCCAGCCAGCCACCCGCAGAGCCTGCTGGGAGTTGTAGTCCTGCCCTGCATCTAGGGTATACCAGGCTAATCCTGGGGATCCCGGGCCGGGGGAGAGGGGCACATGCCCCCCCCCGCCCCCGCCCCTGCCACCTTCAAAACTGGATCGCTTGAGTCTAGACTAAACTATCCCCATCTTGGAGGAGGGAGGATGCAAACATCAACACTGCATGATGGTCCCAGGAGCACTCTGGGAATTGTAGTTCTTGCATCCCCAGAGTCCCAGAAGGCAGGCAGTCCCCCACGACCAGGCATCACCCCCTCACCGGGTGGTTAAGGGTGTCATCGTCCACGTCAAAGTTGGAGGTGTCCATGGGCCCCTGGAGCTCCGGAATGTAGGGGGCAGTGCTGCTTGGGAGCTGTTCCCAGTCCACCCCCTCAAAGAAGGGGTGCCCCCCGGAAGTCATCCAGGCCCCCCTGGCCCAGTCTCTCCTCCTGGCGACACAGGAGTTTGCGGATCAGGTCCCGGGCACTCTCTGACACCTCGGGGACGTCGGAGGGAAACTGCAGGTGGTCCTAGAGGAGGGAAGAGAGTGCTAGGACCCTAGACTCAGCTTACCCTCCTTCCCCAGAGCCCAGTCACTGAACCAGAACCCAGGAGTCTGCACCTCACCCCCAACCTAGAACCTCGGCCATCCCCACCCAACTCTAGAACCCACACCAGAAACTTTGAGCAGCCCTCCCCCCAGCCTAGAACCTTAGGTGTTTCTTTGCCCCTACGTACAAGCTAAGCGTATGCTCTTCCAAGCTACAACCTGGGTGGTATTCTCTGACCCCCTAGCCTTGAATCATGAGCATCCTTACCCTGGCCTAGAACCTCAGGGATTGCTCACAGGCATCCCTACCCCATTTTGTCCTGGAATCCAGACCCTTGTCCTAGAACCCGGGTTGGCTATCCCCAGCTCAAACACCGAGACTTCTTCCTGAGTCTAGAACTTGGGTATGTTTCCATCTCCCCTTGCCTAGAACCCTGAGTTCCTAGGCCCATAGCTTTTGAGGTCTTTAAGTCCTGGCCCCTCATTTCACAGATAAGAAACCGAGGCCCAGTGAGGGAAAGGGATCTGCCAGGTCACAAGGGCTACCATGGTGGCCTCTCCTCTCCCTTCCTGCCCTCTGTCTGGCACCCTGAGGCCTTCTTCGGCCTGCTCCTCCTGCCCCATCCTGCTGACCTCGTAGTTCATGATCTTGCCATAGGTCTCCACCAGAGACTCAGCGTAGAAGGGGGTTTCTCCAAAGAGCAGCTCATACATGCAGACGCCCAGGGACCACCAGTCGCACTGTGGCCCATAGTGGCCCTTTCCTTCCTCCATGGCCTGGAGGATCTCAGGGGAGATGTAGTCAGGGGTGCCAACAGCCACCGAGGAGTCCACCTGGAGGCCAGGGACAGGGGCAGGGTGAGGCTGAGGCGTCCGACGGTGCCTGAGTCCGCACTGCCCTCAGGGGCCCCCCCTCACCATTCCGTTGGCGTTGAGCCGTAAGCAGGAGCCAAAGTCAGCCAGGCGAATGTGTCCACTTGTGTCCAGGAGCACGTTGTCCAACTTGACGTCCCTGTTCCAGGAGAGCCGGGATCGGGTCAGAGGATGTGGAACTCACAGGGAGGGACCTCAGGGGGTGTCTACTGAGCCCCACCCTGACTCGCTGTACAGAGGGACAGCCAAGGCCCAGAGAGGGAAGCAGCCGGCCCAGGGTCACACAGCTAGAAAGGAGGAGAGCCCAGGCCTGTGGGCTCCTAAATCGGCATTCTCTCCACTACATGACTAATCATTTCAACGAGCCTTTGGGTGCCTGCTCTGTGGGCTCAGCGGGATGGCCGAATCCTGGAACAGGGCCAGGGCCTGCCTGGGGCAGGATTCCTGTGTCCTAGGAAGGAATCAGAAGCCTGTGGAAGGAGTAGAAATTGGCAACTACATTTGGGACGGGGCCAGAGGGGACACCCTACCAGAGAGGGCAGCTGGCAGCTGTGTTAGAGCAGGTGGGGGAATGGGAAGCAGCGAAGAGTGAGAGGCCAGAGTCTGCAGAAGAACAAGATGGGTAGGTGCTGCACAGAGACAGCCGGGGCCAGAGGACCTGGCCCAAAGCCCAGTTCTGCCCCTGAAAACCAAGGGGCACCTTAGGTACGGTCCTCTCCCTCTCTGGACCTCAGGGGCGTGGACTCAGTGGCCTCTGAGGTACGCTTCTGCTCTCTAGCTACCATCCTGTGACATCACGCAATGGCCCCTGGTTCTAAGAATGAGGTCAGTTGGTCCCAGAAGAGGGACTTGGAGCGGGGGCAGGCACCTGTGCACGTAGCCCAGCTGGTGAAGGGAGTGGATGGCTAGCACCATCTCAGCCAGGTAGAACTGGGCCAGCTCGGGGGGCAGCCGGTCCTCAAAACGACTCAGCAAGGTCAGCAGGTCTCCACCAGCATAGTAGTCCATGACCAAGTACTGTGCAGGGGACAGGGGGGAGAGGGAATACGCATTTATCAGGCTCCTGCTGTGTGCCAGGCACTTCGCCAAGTGCCTTATACTTAATATTGCACTTGACCCTGGGGTCATGTCACCAATGGGTGACCCCATCAACTCGGTCCACCACATCCCAACCCCCGGCCCTCCAGGGAGCTCTGCAGCTCAAAGCATCACGGGCTAGCGCTAACCCAGAACCCAGCCTCAAGGCCCTCAAGCTGCCCAGGGGAATTTCAAAAGCTAGGGCCCTAGCACCCCTGCTCCCAAAGGCACCAAATTTCCCTTGCAAATCCCAGCACCCTCAGTGCTGACCCTCTCAGGGCCCATGCCAAGGTCCAGAGGGGGGCCCAGACTCGGGGTTAGGAGTGGCTATGGCCTAGTCAACTGGCCTCCTGGACAATCTGCCGTGCCTCAGCCCTGCCCTGACCCTCAGCCACAAAGGCCCCCGGCCAGCCCCTCGCTGCCAAGCCCACCAGATAGTCATCATCCTGGAAAGCACAATGGAGCGTCGTCACCCAGCGGCCATCTCCCTTCACCAGGACGTCTCGCTCCTCCCGGAAGCAGGCGGTCTGGAGGAGAGAAAGAAAGACATCAGCCACATGGCGGACAGAAAGGCCCAAGCCCCAGTCACAAAAGCTCCTGACTGATGGGTCCTATTCCTGGTTCTGATACTTTGGCCAAGTCTCTGGCTAGCCCTCTCTGACTCAGTTTCCTCAGCTGTAAAACAAGGAGTCCAGACCAGCTAAGCTCAAAGTTCCTAACAACTCTGACATTCCACGCTCAGCCATTCTATGCTCTAGCAGGCAGAGGGATGGACTGACTGACCTCGGCCCTCTTCAGCATCTCCCATTTATGCAGCATCTTCATGGCAAAGATCCGGTCAGTGTTCTTTTGTCTCACCACAGCGACCTGCAGGGACCGCGGGGACAGCGAGGTCACGCTGCCTTCCCTGGTGTGGACCCTCCGTCCCCTGCCCACCGCGAGCCCTTGGGAACTCACCTCCCCAAAGGCCCCCCGGCCAATCACTTTGAGGATCTCAAAATCATCCCTCTGGTGCCTCAGCTCTTTCACCAGTGTCACCAAGGGGGCAGCTGAGAGGGGAGAGAAAGACTCAGCTGAGGAGAGAGGAGGAGAAGTAGGGGCTGGTGGGCCTCCCCGCTCTGCTGTCAGCTTGCGTGGAGACCTCGGGCATGTCGCCTCTCCCTGGCCTCCAGCTGCCCCTTTGTAAAGGGAAGGAGTTGGAAAGGAGACAGGCACTGGGGGGCCAGGTTTAGGATGCTGCCTCTGCCACCTCCAGGAAGGAAGGAGGGAGGGATGGAAGGAAGGAGAGAGGGAGGGAGGGAGGGGGAGAGGAAGGAAGGGAGAGAGAGAGGGAGGAAAGAAGGAAGGGAAGGAAGGAAGGAGGGAGGGAGAGAAGAAGGAAGGGGGAGAGAGAAGAAAGGAGAGAGGGAGGAAAGAAGGGAGGGAGGGAGAGAGGAAGAAAGGAAGGAAGGGAGGGAGGGAGGTTCATTGGAGCACCTTTTTCTTTTCTTTTGAATGCACAGACCAGAAAGCTTCACAGACAAGCAGGGCAGCTCTGAAAGCTACAGGCTGAATTTATTTTATATATTTTAAAAGAAAAGTAAGTGGCATTTAACAGTCACACTTTCACATTCTGTGTTTTACATGGAAATGCCCACTTTATTTGGAGTTTGTTAAGTTCAGAATTTTTGTTATTTTTTATTTTTTTGGCTAGGCAATGGGGTTAAGTGACTTGCCCAGGGTCACACAGCTAGTAAGTGTTATGTGTCTGAGGCCGGATTTGAACTCAGGTCCTCCTGAATCCAGGGCGGGTGCTCTATCCACTGCGCCACCTAGATGCCCCTTAAGTTCAGAATTAAAAAAAAAAATTTAAAGGAAAAAAAAATCAGTGAAGCAGCCAGATCCCAGGACTCCCCACCCTTCTGAGCCAATGAGACAAGGGTCTTAGCCTGGGGTCTGTGAACTTATTTGTAAATTCTTTTTCAATCTAATTGGTTTCTGTCTTTTATTTTATGCCTTTAAAATGCTGACTCTGAGAAGAAGTCCCTGGACAGACTTCCCCACCGGCCAGGTGAGGAACCCATTCTGGCTATAAGGAACTGTCCCCTCCAAATTTGCCTTCCCTAAGGTGGGTGGGGCTACTACAATTCCCATGAGCCCAGGTCAGTTAGCTCGCTAGAGAAAGACAGGGTCTCCTCCCAGGGACTGATGGGAGTTGTAGTCTACCCAAGTCATGGCCGACAGCAGGTAGGAAGTTGAGTAGCTAGTTGCCAGGGGTAGTGGGGAAACGCTCAGGGAGGACCCCTCCCTCTAACCCACAGCTACCTAGAAACCCACCGAGAGGGTTACTACTTACCCCTTACTGCCCCTCTAGGGCAGCACCCACACTCTACTTGCCCCAGAGTGAATGGCCATCTCTGTGGGGGCTGATGGGAGTTGTAGTCCCCCAGCCCCAAAGAAGGAAAGAGGGGAAGGTCCACCAGTGAGACCGAGGGGGCACAGCCCCTATCCCTAGCTCACCCTGCCCAGGCTCCAAGCTTCAGGCTCCCCTTGGCAGGAGCCAGGCCTGGGCCTGTCTTGGGGAACCGGATTGACGACATTCCTCATAGGGAAAGCGGGGGGGGGGAGGGGGGGGGCCGGTGCAGAAGGAGTAGGAGGAGGAATTGGGCTGGGCTGGGGGGGCTGCCGTCAAAGTGGGAGACAGGGTTGAAGGAGATAGAGCGGGGACTGGCCCGGAGCTGGGAGCTGGAGGGGAGTGGGATCTTGGCAAAGGATCATGGGACTTAAAAGGCACCTTACAGAGCCTCATCCATCTATGCCCCTCCCTCAATTTTACACCAGGAGAAACTGAGGCCCAGAGAGGTGAGGTTATTTGCCCAAGGTCCCAGAGGGCTAAGTAACCGGCAAGTCAAGCTTCAAATGGCTCTTTCCAGAAGAGGGGGCAAAGTGTGGGAAGCAGAAGGGAAGCTGGGCTGAGGAGGGAAGCCTGAAGTGATGGGACAATCTGGTTAAACCCAGGGCTCACGACTCAGTCCCTCCTGGCTATGACGCAGGGGTTGGGCCCTGCCCCAAGCTGGCTCCCCTGGGGAAGCCCGGGCAAGAAACCTTTTCTTGAGAGTGTAAACAGAGCCTGTAAGGAACAAACAGAGCTGCCCTCCCATCCCCCCTCCCATTCCCCTTCCTTAGCCCTCCCTCCTCCCCTCCCTGGTCCTCCCATCCCCCCCCCCAATCCATTTCTGTCTCGGCCTTTAGACACCTCCCCAGCCTCCACCTCTCACTGTAGCTCTGTTCTCCCCATCTAGGTAGCCCCTTCCCTGTGTCCTACCCCGTGGCCCCCAGGCTGGCTTTTCTCTCCCAACCCTTGCTCCAGGGAGGGCACATCACAGGCTCATGGGATTTGGAGCAGGAAGGGGTTTCTTAACCCTTTTTGTGTCCTGGGCCCCTTGGACAGTCTGGGGAAGCTCACAGACCCCCTTCTCAGAATTATGTTTTTAAAGGCATAAAATAAAACACATGAACCAATTATATTGAAATAGTTATCAAAAAAAATTTTTTTAAGTTCCCCGACCCCAGGTTAAGAACCCCTGATCTAGTCTAACCCCCTCGGGGCAGAAGGGGAAACTGAGGCCCAGATAGGGCAAGTGACTTGCCCAAAGCCTATAGGAAGAGAGATCCTTGAGAGCAGAGACTGCTTTGTTTTTCTCTAGCGCCTCCAAACACTAGCACAGTCCCTGATGCTTAATAAATGCTTATTGAGTTGAACTCACTGGAATTACAGCACACTGAGGGATTGGTCCTAAGTGGGAGAAAGGAGAGGTGGGCCACAGGCCAGAGAGGAAATTAGGGTCTAGGGGAAAATGAAAGGCTACATTCCTGAGTCTTGAAGCCCAGAGCCATTCTCTGCCTCAGTTTCCCCTTTCAGGATGTAAGCTCCCCACCAACCAGGCTGGTTTGTGGGTTTCCGCCCAGAGCTGCTCCACAGGTTTAATAAACAGAAACCCTGCAGCGGGGGAGGTATGGGAGCCTCCTTCCAGAAATTAATTGCCTCGTTAGCCTGGGAAGGGGAGAAAAGGGAAGAAGAGAAATGTATATGGTGATGGAGGGAGCAGCCCTAGGGTGCCCAGAGGGGGCTCAGGTGTGAGCAGTCACTTAGACAGATGACGTTCATTCTCTAACCCTAATTCTGGGCTCCTGTTGGAATGGGGAGATTCCCCCAGTGCAACCTGGGGAGCAGAGCGAGTTAGGGCAGAGGAGGAATGAGTCACCCCCACACACAAACATACACACACACACACACACACACACACACACACAGAAAGAGACAGAACTGTAGAACAGCAGAGCTGGAAGGAACCTCATCTGGCTTAAATTCTATTCCAAAAGCATCTATTAGGCACCACCTGAGTCCCATGCTCTCATTTTACAGCTAGGCAAACTAAGGTCCAGAGAAGGGAAGGATTCTGCCCATGAACAAACAGCTAGTGGGAACCTAGAAGCCTATAGAGCAGGAGTGGGAGGGGTCCAGCCTGAGGACCTCACTGGGGAAAGTCACGGGGGAAGGAGTCTCTGGAAGCATAGGAACACACGTGCAGGAGTTATAGAGGGAGCCCGAGACAGCATAGGTAGAGATCGGGGCCCCACTCGCTCCTGGGCCTGCCTCCGTAATGATAGCAGGGGGCGATGTCCCAGAACATCTGGGTTGGGGAGGGGAGGTCTGAGCAGGCAGCTCGTCAGCAGGAATGCCAAGGGCCCTGCTCTGGGCAAACACTCAACCAAGGCCCCACCCTCGGGAAGCTCTGCCGCTGGGGACTTGGGCCACTTGGACCACTGTGGAGGGCTGGGGGACTGTGGCCCCGAAGCCGGAGCCCTAGCTGAGTTCCTCCGCCTGGGGTTCAGGGTCACCCTGGGCCAGCCACTCCCAGGTGACTCAGCCGCCACGGTCCATTGAAAGGGGGCTGGGTCCCTATGGGAGACTTGAGAGGGGGGATGGTGGAGCACCGCATGATTGATGTCCTCTCCACCAAAGGGGTCCCCGCGCAGGTGGGTAGCTAAAGAGAGGGCCAGAGTCCGGCCCACGGCCAGTAACAAAGAGGCTGAAGAGGCAGTGTTTGCCTGAGCATGCGTCCGACCGGGCACAAGGCGGCTGAGTGTGGGAGCCCTGCATGTGCCCGAGTCTTAACGGGGGCGCGTCCCCCTAGGTGTGCGTGAGCCTCGGGGAGCGGGTGGGCGGAAGGGCCGGTTTAGCCCCGCGTGGATGTTCCCTGGAATGGCTGGCTAGCCCCTCCCTCTCCTCAGAGCCCCTCCAAGTGCCGGGCAGTACTTTGCCAAGTGCCTCTCCCCAGCAGGGCATAGGGAGAGCGTCGGCCACCCCAGCCCACCCCCAGCCCACTCACCCCAGTTGAGGAAATGCGCCACGTTCCTCTCCCGGCGCAGGGGGGCGCTGGAGAGCTCCTGGTGCAGCCCCAGCAGGAGGTCCAGCAGCCCGTCCAGGAAGCCGGCCGGCTCCGGGCCCCCGCGCTCCCCGCGCACCAGCCTGTCCAGGGCCTGCAGTCTGCGCTCCATGGTGCGCTCCGCTGGGCTGCGCTGGGCTGGAGCTACGCTCTGCTGGGGCTGCGCTCCGCTGGGGATGCGCTCCGCTGGGGATGCGCTCCGCCGAGCTGCGCTGGGCTGGGGCTGCGCTGGGCTGGGGTTTGCGCTCCGCTGGGGTTGCGCTCCGCTGGGGTTGCGCTGGCCTGACCTGGGCTGCGCTGCGCTGGGCTGGAGGGGGGCAGGCGTTGCGGGCCTGAGGAGCCGGCCCCCCGGCAGCCCCCGGTGCTCCTGGGCTAGGGCCTGGTCGGCTGCATGGCTGGCAATGACCCGCGGCCCCCTCCCCCCGCGTGTAGACCCCCCCCCTCCCCCTCCCCCGGCTGTCACCTTCCTCTCCCTGCTGGCGGGCGGGCGGGCAGCCTCACCTGGGCTGGGGCTGCCCCAGCCCCGCCCCTGGCGGACAGGTAGCTGGCGGCCAATCAGGGGCCGCCGGCCGGAGGCGGAGGTGGAAAAATGGGTGGGACGGGGTACCCAAGTCCTGTTCAGGAAGTTGAGCGAGTGTGCCCCCCTGCCTCTTCCCCTGTTCCCCAGACCAAACCTGCCCCCTCCTGTGGCCCCACCTGGGGCGTCGAGCAGAGAGACCACGAACTCTGTCGACCCCAGGCCAATCTGGTCCTGGTCCTGGTCTTGGGTAAGGGGCCTTGGGGCGTTGGGGGCTGCCAAGCGTCCCAGGGCCTCCTGGGAGATGTAGTCTTTCCTCTGCCCAGGTCATTACTGACAATAACTGCCTTGTCTCCCTCCCGGCCTCCCCAGGACTCTTTCACCTAGAAATCTCAAGCATCGCGGCTGGAAAAGTCCAAGGAGAATTTAGGGCTAGCGTGGGGTTGTGGAAGGTGCTGGATTTGGAGTTAGGAGACCTGTGGTTAGAGGCTACTTGGGCTCCCTTGAGCTGATCACTTCTGAGCCTCAGTTTCCTTATAGGTAAAATAAGGATGTGATTACATTTGCACTGCAGACTTCACAAGAGTTTTTTGTTTTGTTTTTATGAGGAAACCCTCTCTTATACCTCCAGGAACTACAGAAATGGGAGTCAGAAAAGACATCCTAGGGTCAGAGCTGGCCAGCAAAAGGGAATGGGGAGGAGAGGGCTCTCCCTGCCACCCCCAGACAGCTCCAAGGGGAGCCCAGTATAGGTTGTAAGGGAATTCTGGCCCAGAAGTTCCTTCTGTCCCTTATCTGTCATTCTCTGGACCTCCTGCCCTGCTGCTGGAGGCAGAGGGAAGTGGCTTCTAAAGTAATTCAGCTCTCAGAGCACCGACTTTCCCATCCGGAGTTTCCAGGACACAAACTGGGAGCTTAATTCTCGAGCTCCTCACCTTCCTGCTCCAACTTTCCAAACTGCCCTCCTGGCTGTTTCCCACCAGGGTGCCTTTGGATCGGCCCCCCCCACCTGCGCATGGAATGTTCTTCCTCTTCACCTCGTGGAGCTCCTGGCTCCATTCAAACCCTAGCTCAAGGGCCACCTCCTGCATGAAGAACTTCCATATCCTCTCAATTGTTAAGCACTTAGCCCCCTACCCGGAGATTCCTTTGTGTTTCTTCTCAGCTGCTTATCTATGTGGAGCTCCCCCGCCCCCATCCCTGGCAGAATCCGAGTTCTGCCCTCCTTCTGGGCTCTTGGCTTTGCAGCCTCTGCACCCACGCACAGTTCCTGGTACATAGGAGGCACTTAATAAATGCTTATTGGTTTAGCTTTCGTGGGTTGGACGTCGTGGGTCACGTTGAATTAGACCAAAGGAGTCAGATCTGTTCCAAGGGACTGGCTTCCCTTTATCTTTGTGCCTAACCCGGTGCTTGGAACCCAGTAAGTGCTTAATAAATGCTAGTTGAACTTTGGAAGGAGAGTTGGCGTCTCTGAAGTCAAAGCCCAGTTGTAAGAGATTGAGAACTGAGCAGGGGGCCAAGAAATGGAAGCATCAGGTAAATGCAACTTTTTCTTTTCTTTTCTTCTTTTCTTTGTGAAGGCAATTTTTGCAAGATATTTGGAGGTGAGGAGGGAGGGCTTTCCAGGCGTGGGGGACAGCCAGTGCAAAGGCCTGGAGAGGTGAGATGGACTATTGTGCACTAGGAGCCAGAAGGCCATTTTGGTTGGATTACTGAGTATGTGAAAGGCAAGTAATAAGTAACGCATGATGCTGGGCTCTGGCTTCCGTCTCCCACCCCGGGCCCTCTGCCCAGCAGCCCTCCCTCCTCCTCTCTCCCTTGGAGAAGTCCTAGCTTCTTTCCAAGTTCAGCATGGGGACCATCTCCTCCATAAGACTTTTTCTGAGCCCCTCCAGTCTTAGTGCATTCTCTCCCTCTTGGAATTACTTCCCCCTCCCCTGGCTTTCCAGCCTCATCATTTCCAGGGCTCCTCTTATAGTCTCAGAATTTTTTTTGACTCCTCTCCTTCCCTCTAGGTCCCGACAATACTGCCTTCACTACTGGCTATGCCTTCACTACTGGCTAGCGCTGTCACCACAGCCCCCAGGGTGGAGTAAGAGGTCATCAGATTCACAAGCATTTATTCTGTGGGCCCACTGTGTGCCAGGCCCTAGATACAAAAGGCACCAGTCCCTGCCCCTAAAGAGCTTCCTGGAAGAAAGCATTCCAGGCCTGGCGAATGGCTAGTGCTAAGCCTGGAGATGGAGGGCCATGGCTGAGAAACAGCAAGGCCAGTGTGGCTTCAATACTGGAGGGAATAAGCACTTTACCATGATTATTTCTTGTGATCCTCACAACAGCCCTGGAAGGTAGGTGCTGTTATTATCCCCGTTTTACAGATGGGGAAACTGAGGCAAAGAGAGGTTCATGCAGCTAGTGTTTTCCCCAGGCCAGCAATCTTACTCGCCTGGGTTCCCCTCTGGCAGTCCAGATTGGCTCACTCACACCCGCTCAGCCTTCAGCATCCATGAGCAGAAGAGGCCCAGGTGTGGGGCACCTGGGGCTTGCCGCAGGCCCTGACTCAGGGAGGCACGCTTCCATTCTCGTGGGGTTGTTGGCCTGGGTTCCCCTCTGGTCATTCCAGATGCTGGACCTGCCTTCCCACATTTACTCAGTCTGTTCTCAGACTCAGGCCCCAGAGCGGCCTGGTCTGGAGATCCGCCCCAAGCAAATGGGCCATTTTGGGATCCAGCAGGGACTAGCGGTGGGTATGCCTGGAAAGTCACCAGTGAGAGTCAGCCCAGTCCTAGCCCTGACCAGCCCCAGGCCTCAAGTCTTCCTCCTTTCCAGTTTATCTTCTGTTCATTCCTAAGCGTTCCTTCCCTCACATTCCTTCTCCTCCTCTGGGGGAGAGAAGGCCTGTAGAGTGCTTAGCACAATGCCCAGCGCGTGGTGGGCATTTGATGAAGATATGCCCCCCACTCCATTGTGGGGCTCAGAGAAACCTCGATGCTTCTTCCTGGGCCCTGTGGAGACGGCTGCTTCTCCTCAAATGCCCCCTGACCAGGGCCAGGAGGAGGGGCTGGCATGGCCGCTTCCCGAGCCTCCCTGTGCCACCTTAGCTCAGCAAACACTCCTCCCCTAGCATTCCCTCCACCGTGCCCGGGTCCTCGTTGGCATCAGTCGGCCCTGAGTCACTCTTCCTCCTATGTTGAGTGTCTGATGTGAAGCCAACGCTTCCGAGCCGTGTGACTGTGGGTGAGACACTCTGAGCCTCAGTTTCCTCATCTGGAAAATGGAGACAGTAGCACCTGTACTCTTACAGGGCTGTTGTGAGGAAATCACTTGGTAAAATATGAAGCCCTCCCCTGCCCAGCCCCCTGGAAGGCTGTGGGAGGCCACTATGGAGTGTGGATGCCTGGATCTCACAGGAAACCTCACCAGGAAAGTCCCCAGATCCAGCACACCTCTCCCTGGCTCCCTGGCTCCGATTCCATTCCATCCAAGAGACTTTTATGAAATGACCACTCTCTCTTCCTGTGGGCTTGGAAGAGCCAGACCTGGGCCCATGGAGGCATCCCCCAAAGTGGAGCCCACCAGGTGCTGGGGAGTCCGGAGAAGGCCCAGCTTCCCAGCCGACTCCGACTTATCTTCAGGCTCTTCCTGTTGCTTCTCTGCTGCTGCCAACAAACACACCCGTATCTCCCCCAGCCTTCCAAATCCTCCCTGATCCAAGCCTCCTCACAAGCTTGTCACCCTCTGTCTCTCCTCCCTTTTCTGGCTAAATTCCTTGAGAAGGCTGGGAGCCTCCACGTTCTCTCCCCTCACTCTCTTCTTAACCGCTCCCAATCGCTTCTGACTTGACCATTCCAGTGGAACTGCAGCCCTGCCCCAAAGTCACCCACGCTCTCTTAATCAGCCCAGCCACTGGCCTCTTCTCTGTCCCTGTCTTTCCGAAGCCCTCGGCAGACTTTGATGCCGTCAGATTCTACCGCCTTCTGAGACGCTCTCCTCTCTCTAGGTTTTAGGACACTTCTCTGTCTCTCCCTATGTGTGTGTGTGTGTGTCTGTCTCTGTCTCTGTCTTTGTCTGTGCCCCCCCCATCTCTCTCTGTCTCTGTCTCTGTCTGTCTGTCTGTCTCCGTCTCTCTCTGTCTGTCTCTTTCTGTCTCTATCTTTGTCTGTTCCCCCCATCTTTCTGTCTGTCTCCGTCTCTCTCTGTCTGTCTCTTTCTGTCTCTATCTTTGTCTGTTCCCCCCATCTTTCTGTCTGTCTCCGTCTCTCTCTGTCTGTCTCTTTCTGTCTCTATCTTTGTCTGTTCCCCCCATCTTTCTGTCTGTCTCCGTCTCTCTCTGTCTGTCTCTTTCTGTCTCTATCTTTGTCTGTTCCCCCATCTTTCTGTCTGTCTCCGTCTCTCTCTGTCTGTCTGTCTCTTTCTGTCTCTATCTTTGTCTGTTCCCCCCATCTCTCTGTCTGTCTGTCTCTCTCTGTCTGTCTCCATCTCTCTCTGTCTGTCTCTTTCTGTCTCTATCTTTGTCTGTTCCCCCCATCTCTCTGTCTGTCTCTCTCTCTCTGTCTGTCTCCATCTCTCTCTGTCTGTCTCTTTCTGTCTCTATCTTTGTCTGTTCCCCCCCATCTTTCTGTCTGTCTCCGTCTCTCTCTGTCTGTCTCTTTCTGTCTCTATCTTTGTCTGTTCCCCCCATCTTTCTGTCTGTCTCCGTCTCTCTCTGTCTGTCTGTCTCTTTCTGTCTCTATCTTTGTCTGTTCCCCCATCTCTCTGTCTGTCTCTCTCTGTCTCCATCTCTCTCTGTCTGTCTCTTTCTGTCTCTATCTTTGTCTGTTCCCCCATCTCTCTGTCTGTCTGTCTCTCTCTGTCCGTCTCTTTCTGTCTCTTTGTCTGTTCCCCTCCATC